CTGGTCTGTGCTAAAGGAAGACTGAAGTCCATCACGTTCAACCATGAAGCCCAATCTTTTATGCTGTTGATCCAAAAGAAAGCAAAAAAATTTAATAAAAAATTATAGTTATTTCCAATTATGACACAAAAAGGGAAGAAAATTACTTCTTGACTCCATAACTGCAATCAGATTTCTCCTTGGATCAACAACCTGTTTACATAAATATCAATTATATCCTTGAATATTATGCTTATGCAAAAAAGCATCCAAGCCTTTTTTTAAATGTATCTATAGAGTCTGATAACACAACCTTTTTAGGCAGAGAATTCCACTTCATTTTTTTTCTGTAAAGAACCTTTTCCTCTCTGCTGTAAGTGAAAACTTAAATCCAGTCTCAAATAGTGGCCTCTTGTCTAACCTGCTAATGAACAGGTTAGCACATGGCGGTTTGTACTAAACCTGTATATATTTATATATATTCCTAGACACCTATTTTCTAAAGAACACAATTCCAGTTTTTCTAGACTTTTCTCATAACTAATGTTTTCCATCCCCCTTACTAGTTTTGTAGCTCTGTTCTGCACTTTTTCTAGTTTCGCAATATCCTTTAAAACTGCTGCCCACAATTGTGCCACATTTTCAAGGTGGGGTCTTACCATTGATTTGTAAAGAGGCACAATTATATTTTGATAACGTAAATCAAACCCCTTTTTATACACGAAAAAACCTTATTAGCTTTTGCAGCAGCGATCTATAATTGTTTCCCATTTAATGCTATCCAGTGGCGTACACATGACCCATGGGGCCCCGGTGTGAAAATTGATCCGTGGGCCCCCCCCGCACGCGCGGGCCGGGCCGCAACACATGACGGTGGGCACCTGGTCGCAGAGGTTTACAGGGCTGCGACCCCTGCGACCGCGGTATGTACGCCAGTGCATGCAGATGCACACACACTTAAAGGACCACTCTAGGCACCCAGACCACTTCAGCTTAATGAAGTGGTCTGGGTGCCAGGTCCAGCTAGGATTAACCCATTTTTTCATAAACATAGCAGTTTCAGAGAAACTGCTGTGTTTCTGAATGGGTTAAGCCTTCCCCTATTTCCTCTAGCGGCTGTCTCATTGACAGCCGCTAGAGGTGCTTGCATGCTTCTCACTGTGATTTTCACAGTGAGAGCACGCCAGCGTCCATAGGAAAGCATTATGAATGCTTTCCTATGTGACCGGCTGAATGCGCGCGCAGCTCTTGCCGTGCGTGCGCATTCAGCCGACGGGGAGGAGAAGAGGAGGATCAGAGGAGGAGAGCTCCCCGCCCAGCGCTGGAAAAAGGTAAGTTTTAACCCCTTTCCCCCTTCCAGAGCCGGGCGGGAGGGGGACCCTGAGGGTGGGGCACCCTCAGGGCACTATAGTGCCAGGAAAACGAGTATGTTTTCCTGGCACTATAGTGGTCCTTTAAAGGACCACTACAGACACCCAGATCACATAAGCTCAATGAAGTTGTCTGGGTGTCAGGTCCCTCTAGTTTTAACCCTGCAGCTGAAAACATAGCAGTTTCAGAGAAACTGCTATGTTTCACTGAGGGTTAATCTAGCCTCTAGTGGCTGTCTCACTGACAGCCGCTAGAGGAGCACACTGAATGTCCATAGGAAAGCATTGAGTAATGCTTTCCTATGGGCGGTTTGAATGCGTGCGTGGTCGCATTCGGAGCTGAGAGGCTGAGGGATCCTCAGCGCCAAGGGAGTCCGGCGCTGGAGAAAGGTAAGTGCTGAAGACACACACACACACACTTACAGACGCATACACACTACCTAACAGACACACACATTTACTGACAGAGACACAGTCAGTGACAGACATACATACACACTCACTTAAAAACATACACTCTCATTGACAAACACACACTCACTAACAGACATCAAACAGACTCACTAACACACACACACACTCAGTAAGACACACACAGTAACACACTCACTGACACTCACTAGCAGACACACACACGTGCTTCTCACTGTGATTTTCACAGTGAGAGCACGCCAGCATCCATAGGAAAGCATTATGAATGCTTTCCTATGTGACCGGCTGAATGCGCGCGAGCTCTTGCCGCGCTGCGCATACAGCCGACGGAGAGGAGGATCGGAGAGGAGAGCTCTCCGCCCAGCGCTGGAAAAAGGTAAGTTTTACCCCTTTTCCCCTTTCCAGAGCCGGGCGGGAGGGGGTCCCTGAGGGTGGGGCACCCTCAGGGCATTATAGTGCCAGGAAAACGAGTATGTTTTCTGGCACTATAGTGGTCCTTTAAAGGACCACTACAGACACCCAGATCACATCAGCTCAATGAAGTTGTCTGGGTGTCAGGTCCCTCTAGTTTTAACCTGCAGCTGAAACATAGCAGTTTCAGAGAAACTGCTATGTTTCACTGAGGGTTAATCCAGCCTCTAGTGGCTGTCTCACTGACAGCCGCTAGAGGAGCACACTGAACGCCCATAGGAAAGCATTGAGTAATGCTTTCCTATGGGCGGTTTGAATGCGTGCGTGGTCGCATTCGGAGCTGAGAGGCTGAGGGATCCTCAGCGCCAAGGGAGTCCGGCGCTGGAGAAAGGTAAGTGCTGAAGACACACACACACACACTTACAGACGCATACACACTACCTAACAGACACACACATTTACTGACAGAGACACAGTCAGTGACAGACATACATACACACTCACTTACAAAACATACACTCTCATTGACAAACACACACTCACTAACAGACAAACAGACTCACTAACACACACACACACACACTCAGTAAGACACACACAGTAACACACTCACTGACACTCACTAGCAGACACACACACTAACACTCACTCTAACACTCACACACACTAACAGACACACACACTAACACTCACACTAACTAGCAGACACACACTAACACTCACACTAACACTCACTAGCAGACACACACACTAACACTCACACACACTAACACTCACTCTAACCCTCACACTAACCCTCACACTAACACTCACACACACTCTAACCCTCACTCTAACACTCACTCTAACACTCACTCTCACACTAACTCTAACAGTTACTCTAACAGTAACACATTTTTTTTTAAATGTAATCCCCCCAGCCTCCTTACCTTTTGGAGTGCTGGGGGGATTCCCTGGGGTCCAGTGGTGCTGCTGACCCCGGCGGGCGGGTGGCCGGTCGGCGCTGAGGCACTCAGTGCTTCCTCTTCAGCTCAGCGCCGCGCGTAGGGATGCCGCGCCGGAAGATGGCGTCATCGCCCACCACCAGTGCTGCGGCTGGCGAGGGCTCGCACGCTCCCAGCCCAGCCCCTGGGGTGGTCGGCTCCTGGGCCCCCCAGGGGAAGAGGCTGGCCCTGTGGCTACATACCGGGTCGCAGGGGCGGCCGGGCCCCCAGGTGGGCCGGGCCCGGTCGCAACCGTGACCCCTGCGACCCTGGTATGTACGCCACTGATGCTATCCTAACTCTACCCAATTTAATGTATAAGTGGCTTGTGGGTTCTTTATTCCATATTGCATGACTTTGCATTTATCTGCGTTGATTCTCATTTGCCACTTGCCTGCCCAGTCTCCTAATTTATCCAAATCCTTTTTAGGGAGGTTCATGTTCAGACTGTATTGTCGTACCAAGTTTTCTCATCTGCAAACATAGACAATTGAATTTTGGTGTCCACTTCAAGATCATTTATGAACAGATTAAAGAGAAGTGAATCCAAGACAGAAGCCTAAGGCACTTCACTTACCACTTTTGTCCAATTTGAAAATATTAAATTTACAACTGCTCTCTGCACTCCATCTTTAAGCCAGTGTTCTATCCAAGAACACAATTTTTCATCTAAACCAACTAATTTCAGTCTTACTAGTAACCATTTGTGTGGAACTGTATCAAATGCCTTAGCAAAATCAAAGTAGATCACATCTACTGAAACACCCTGATCTAACCTCTTCATAGAATGTAATTAAGTTAGTTTGGCATAACCTTTCCTTGTTGATTCATGCTAATGATAAGTATGTTCAAAATTAATTATTCCATATCATCCCTAAGCAGCCCTTTAGACGATTTACCAAGCACAGATGTTAAACTCACGGGTCTGTAGTTTATGAGTTGAGCTTTTGCAACTTTTTTAAATATAAGCACCACATCTGCTTCTCTCCAATCCTCTGTTAGAATTCCTGAAAGAAAAGAATCCTGAAATATTAAAACAGTGGTATAGCTATTTCTACACAAAACTCCCGAAGCAATCCTATTCTGTATTTTTTTTAAATACATTTTGGTCTCTACGGTAGCACTGCTGCTGAGAAATGCATGATCTGGGTGTGCCCCCAATTCCACTTTTATCAAATATAATAGACAAAGAGCACTTTACAGCTCAGATAAAATTCAATGTACTCTACAACTGTATACATTTCTTTATAAATGTGTTAAAAAGTTTTTAGTTTAAAATTTTACTCAATCACCAGTTATCTTTTGGCAAAAATGACTCATCGACACCTATAAGGATATATGCATACCTAAAAGAAAAAAAAAACTGCATTTTAAACTTTAACCTTGAAGGGTGCTTAATATTGTTGATTTCTACAAAGCTTGGAAAAATTTCTTTCAAACAAGTGGGAGTATTATAGACCCACATATCTTTATGCTGCTTTTTTCTATTTTCACCAATTAGTGGAAGATACAATGCTTTGCATTATTTGTATTTTTACTTTGTTTATTTCATATAAGAGTGTATAATCACTGTTTTCTATGTTTGATGTTTTTGTTTATTGTACAAGAAGGAAGGGGGTGTTTTGTGGTCGTTGCTACATTTCCTAGCAACCATTGTTCTGTATCTTTTAAATAGAATTGCCACTCTTTTAAATAGAATACACAGTGCATGTCTAAATGCAAAGCTTGAAAAACATGCTCATACCGTTGTGTACTTTTCAGTAATAAAAGACAATTCATATTTTATAATACAGACCACAACACGGGAAAACACACAGACTCCAAGGTGTGTTTCAGACACAACCTTGCAGGCAAAGTTAAGGCTGCCAGCAAACCAGGGTTAACATAGAGGCTAAAGGAACTGAAGCCCGAGGCCCATTCTCCTGGATTAGGTCCATTGATTTTAAAAAAGTATTAATTTATTTTACTACTCTTCACATGTTCTGCTTTGTGCAGAGGGAATGAAATACTTGGATTTTGCCAAGGCATTCGATACAATTAATCACAAAAGGTTAGTGTTCAAACTAAAAGAAATTGGTCTAGATGAAAGTTCATGTCGTTAGGTAAAACATTGGCTTAAAGATAGAGTACAGAGAGTTGCCATTAATGGTAAATTTTCAAGCAGCATAAACGTTGTAAGGGGTGTCACTCAGGGTTCTGTTTTGGGACCATTTCTATGTAATATATGTATAAATGATCTTGAAATAGGCATTGAAAGCCATGTTTCAATATTCGCAGGTGACACAAAACTCTATAATGTAACACATTGTTGAGCAGGATATTACCTTGCTGCAGAGGGATTTAGATAGATTGGGGGACTGAAATTTAATGTAGAAAATGTAAAGTTATGTACTTCGGGGTGAAAAATGCACAAGTAACTTACATTGTAAATGGTAGTCAATTAGGGATAACAAAAAACAAGAAGGATTTGGGAATTGCTATAGACAACCAACTAGGCAACAATATACAATGTAGGGATGTGCATGGGCAAAAGATTTGGTTTGGCACTTTGGCAATTCCCTAACCCTACCACTACCCCATAACCCTAACCCTACCCCTAACCCTTACCCTAACCTTACCCCTAGCCCTACCGCGTACTCTTACCCCTCACCCTACGCCTACCTCTACCCCTAACACTAACCTTTTGGGCAGTGCTAATGATGTGATTCATATCACTGGACTAACTATTTTTACCATGCTCACCAACGTGTGTGTGAATTAGGGAGCAATCTAATAAATAGCTGAACGAGCAACATTAATAAAAGGGCTTTTCTTAATTTGGCTGCTACTTTTTTTTTTAACAGAGAGCACTAGGTCATTTTCGTTTTGTTTTCACAGACTCCGTTTGATGCCATTGGAGTTGGTATTGTTTTTGTGACTTTATCATGTTTACAAAGTTTTTTCTCATTGATATTTGGACTTACTCATTGGACTTTTATGATAAATCTTATACTATTTTTATATATTGAGTAATGCTTTTGGGAGAATCTGGTTTTATGATGTGAGTCATTTGTTGGGGGGTTAGCCCTGTTTAGTGTATTTCACTTATTCTTATTTATCTTTTTAGGGAATGTTGAGTGGTCACTCTGACAACTTTGAGTCCCTGAATTTTTCTGTAATTTGCTATATTGTTTCGTGGTATTTGATGTGTCACTTGGAACATCTGAAAAAATATTACATATATATAAAGCAGCTTGTGCAGAGTAACCTGCTTTTTTTGTTGCTGATTTCATATTCATCAGCAAACCATGATTATGCATTTAAACGCTGGCTGCAAGCGATCAGACACATTCCCTATCAGTGTTTTTTTGTAGGGAAGTTGATAAGTTATTTGTTGTGTTATTCTTTGAAACGTTTTAGTTACAGTGTTAGGACATGTTGAGAAAGCTTCTTGCCTGACACTGTTCTGGAGAGAATGTGTATCTATAGCACATTTACTGCTCTATACTCTTTGGCAGATCCTTGTTCAGCCACCTGTAGTGCCCTACACCGTTCAGCAGAACTGTGCTGAAGGTGCTACTTTAGCAGTTTTCTATTATTGAATTGGCAGCTAATGGCTGGGTTTTATGTTGGCAAGCTCAGAGGAGAGACTGTGTTCAGAATGTTCTTTCTGCTACTCTTATAACAAACGTCAACCAATCTATCTGCTCTTTCTCACACTACTTAGAAGTTTCTTTGCAATCTGCTTCAAATGTCATAATATACTGTTCTTTTTTGTTCTATAGCGATTAACTTTAATCTTGTGAATGAATCACGACATCAGACTATTTAGGAGCATTCAAGTTATCCCAATAAATTATTCACTTTTAAAGAGGGTGGAAATTAGGATGGCCATCATTGTTTTGGGGTGCTTATGAATTCAGCATTCTGGGGGGTACAGCTTTGTGATATATGAAATTCATGTCCCCTAGATGTGAAATCATTGAAATTTTCAGAGGCTGTATTTTGGGATAATTGATTTATTGTCAGGAGCACATTCATACTGCCAGGGGGCACATTCATTTCCTCGCTTCATGGAATGCAGAATTTAACCTGGTTTTAGAAAAAAGGGAGGCAGCTCTAGTGACCATACAGCCCCATTCAACTACTGATGCTCCTAAGAGATGCACCCTGCAGACCGGTGGTGGCTGTCATGCAGCTGTGCAATGCAGTGCCTGATTTAGAGCGTCCTGATCCTGGAGCTGCAAGATTGGAGGCTTAATGAGAGAACTTGAATTTGCATATTAATTGTCACAATAGCTGTTTTGGACTGCATGTGATCCAAATGGTGTTCTAAAATGATGATGAAGCCGCACACTTTAAAGTTGTGCACATGGCAGGGAAGACAACCATCAAGCATAGTACAGTCTGAGTACAAAGCAGTGACTGGGAAGCAATTAATACATTCAAAATACGATTACAATAGAAAATGAGTAGAGCATGAAATAAACATAGAAACATAGACATAATAAATAAATAAACTGAACATATATATTGTGGCTGCTTTGGACCTGTTTCAAATCATGGGCTGGAGCTGCCTCTTCAGCATTCCCTATGTTAATCTGGCTCCAAATTTAGAAGCATTTCAATACTTGCTCTAAAAATATAATACTGTAGAAAATCAGCAACTAATTAAGATTTTAAAAGTTAGTTGACAACTTAGTAACTTACTTACTTAGTAACTTACTGTTAGTTTTGATTATTAATTCCAGCAGCAATGACTCAGCTGTTCATCATTCCGAGGTAGATAAAATGAGTGCCATTAAACTGGGTAATAGTGACATCCCCTGGATGCTGGACAAAAGTAACATATCCAAGATGTACATGGAAACCAGAATAATCTGAATGTATTTTTCCTGAGTAAATACTTTGTTATTATATATCTGTATGGCATTAAGGTATGGTGATAAGATATCAGTGCCCGTTCTTCAGTCAATGTGTTTATACTTACATTCACTACACCTACTTTAATAAAACAATAATATTTAATGGTATGAAGAAAGAAGGGATTTTTTTTTCTAACTCCAAGTTGACTGTTGCTCTTTAATACAGGTGCCATTCCCACGGCAAATCCACATAGGATATGTATGCATTTATAATTGTAAGTAGATGGCAAGTGAGTTCATAGATTTTATTTATTTATTGATTCACTTGATGTGTCTATACTACAGGAATACCTAGATATTTATAGAATTAAGATAACTATAATAAGGGTAACAGATAATGGCAGGAGCATCATCACATCTGCTGTGACAAAGACCATGTAGATGGCAGAATTATGACAAGTTCTGGGCAGCAGTGTCCAGACAGACACAATGGAATCACATGGGCAATATACAGGGGGTGCAGAATTATTAGGCAAGTTGTATTTTTGAGGATTAATTTTATTATTGAACAACAACCATGTTCTCAATGAACCCAAAAAACTCATTAATATCAAAGCTGAATATTTTTGGAAGTAGTTTTCAGTTTGTTTTTAGTTATAGCTATGTTAGGGGGATATCTGTGTGTGCAGGTGACTATTACTGTGCATAATTATTAGGCAACTTAACAAAAAACAAATATATACCCATTTCAATTATTTATTATTACCAGTGAAACCAATATAACATCTCAACATTCACAAATATACATTTCTGTCATTCAAAAACAAAACAAGATGTGTCTGGAGCTCCGGGCCGCAAAGCTGAAAAAACCCTATTTTCTGATACCCAGACGGGACCAACAGGGCCCGACAGCTCCCCCGGGTGCCCTGAACCCAGATGGGGAAAAAAACAAAAAAAGCGAGACAAGAAGCGCCCCGAACGGGCATGAACATAGGAGAGATGTGGCGGCAGGCTCGTGGCGCACAGGGGCCTGGGTTGGCGGCCATTGCTGGGGAGTGCTCAGACCTCTCGGACGACTTCTCTTGTGGAACCGATGAGGGCTACACACCTGCTACGGCGCTTCCCCCGCCGCGGATCCCGACAGCACAGCCGGACCCCGCTCCTGTGACGGCCGCACTCTTGAAAGAACTGCTGGCGGATTTACAAAAGAACCTCCAGGCAGACATGGCCACAATACGCCAAGACTTGAAAGGCCTGACTGGCAGGATAGGAGCCTTAGAAACCACCTCACTCTCAGCCAAACAGCAGATCACCACCCTCCAGCAGGAGGTCAGAGACCTGCGAACACTAAACGGCTCCTATGAAAGGCGCTTTGCAGCCCTTGAAGACTCCCGCCGTCGGAATAACATAAAGGTCAGGGGGGTCCCCGACAACGTACCGAAGCGGAGCTCCCGCACGTGGTAAGGAGACTACTTGCGGCCCTGCTCACACCCAAACTGTCCAAAGCATTAGAGATAGAGGGCATATTCAGGGTGCCCAAACCTGCCCAGGCACCAACCTCTGCCACGAGGGACTTGATCGTACAATTCGTTAAAGGGAGAGACAAAGCAACCCTCTTAAATGCACTACGCGGCAACTCACCTTACTCCTTCGAAGGCATGGACCTAACCTTTTATGCGGATTTGAGCAGCAGCACCTTGGCATGGCGTCGGGAGCTGCGACCGCTTACTATCCTCCTACAGAAGCATAACCTTAACTACAGATGGCGACCCTCACGTGCCCTGTCAGTCGCCCATGGGACTACAACTCACATCATCCGAGACCTCCAAGAAGCCAAAACGCTCCTGCAGAAACTGGGCATTCCCCAACACCTCCTACCCACCGAAGCACCTGAGGCAGCACAGCGACCAACCCACGGCTGGAATCCGGAAACTACAGCGGAATTTGTACCCAGACAGGCCGCCCAGGGCTTACAGAACAATACCAAGACCTGACTTTATGAGAGACAGCCTATCATAGGCCCAGTACTGGACCCACACACTCTGGCAGCCCGATCCACACAAGGCCCTTAAACCCACATACCCACTCACAAGCTGAGCATATACCGCTTATTAACCTCCCTTAGATTGGTGGAAGGTACCCGCCACGGTTCCCCCCCCTCAGGAATATAATTTATTTATTTTTCTCCTCCTCGTTCACACTATATACATATATATAGTCTCCCCCGTAGGTATGCAACACCGCTCCTACTACCGGCAACTCCGATCCAGCACAACACCTTGCACAACAGCATCCACACAGGGGAATTGCTCGCAGTGCACTCTCACTTTTCTTTACTCTCTCCATTCTATATGTGCAATTAGTGACAGTGACCTAGCAGGGTTACCGGGCCCGGTGGCTTTCTCAGCTACGAGTCACCACTTTTTATCTTCATGGGATTTATGGGCCCTATCCCAAGCAGATTACTCTAGCATGTTCACATAACTTACACTATGTAAGCAGTTTATTTGGGTACTTACAGTTTAGCCTGAAACAGTTAGCTATGAGATAGAATCAGCTATTAGACCACATACTATTACTTACCTAACCTATGCCTACCTATAAAAATTGTACATAATCTTGCAGCCATAACACTTTTTGACATGGCATTCGCTTTTTGTATTTGTCATATTGCCTGTGACCTTTCATATTTACTCTTGTGCCCTATATCAATGAAGGCATATTGTGGTTCATTTCTTTAATAATACCAGTCTACTTAGCTTGCCTAAGCTACCCTCTGCGGGACTTCCTAGTCCATGAATATAGTAGCGTAAGCTTGAACAACTAACCTGCAATGTTCTTTAATATTATTATTGCCTATCTTACGCTAATACAGATTCTACTGTTTAACAATAATTAACCTAGATATAACTCGTTGTTAAGTGTTTAAAAAATTTTTTTTTAAAATGTGCAAAGTTTTTTCCACTGCCTAATTAATGTAAACCTTTGTTTAACTCTGCATACCCTGGCTATTGTGGCACGGTACGCTTTATGTGAAATTCCATGCACAAATAAAATAAAGAATTCAAAAACAAAACAAAAACAAATCAGTGACCAATATAGCCACCTTTCTTTGCAAGGACACTCAAAAGCCTGCCATCCATGGATTCTGTCAGTGTTTTGATCTGTTCACCATCAACATTGCGTGCAGCAGCAACCACAGCCTCCCAGACACTGTTCAGAGAGGTGTACTGTTTTCCCTCCTTGTAAATCTCACATTTGATGATGGACCACAGGTTCTCAATGGGGTTCAGATCAGGTGAACAAGGAGGCCATGTCATTAGATTTTCTTCTTTTATACCCTTTCTTGCCAGCCACGCTGTGGAGTACTTGGACGCGTGTGATGGAGCATTGTCCTGCATGAAAATCATGTTTTTCTTGAAGGATGCAGACTTCTTCCTGTACCACTGCTTGAAGAAGGTGTCTTCCAGGAACTGGCAGTAGGACTGGGAGTTGAGCTTGACTCCATCCTCAACCCGAAAAGGCCCCACAAGCTCATCTTTGATGATACCAGCCCAAACCAGTACTCCACCTCCACCTTGCTGGCGTCTGAGTCGGACTGGAGCTCTCTGCCCTTTACCAATCCAGCCATGGGCCCATCCATCTGGCCCATCAAGACTCACTCTCATTTCATCAGTCCATAAAACCTTAGAAAAATCAGTCTTGAGATATTTCTTGGCCCAGTCTTGACATTTCAGCTTGTGTGTCTTGTTCAGTGGTGGTCGTCTTTCAGCCTTTCTTACCTTGGCCATGTCTCTGAGTATTGCACACCTTGTGCTTTTGGGCACTCCAGTGATGTTGCAGCTCTGAAATATGGCCAAACTGGTGGCAAGTGGCATCGTGGCAGCTGCACGCTTGACTTTTCTCAGTTCATGGGCAGTTATTTTGCGCCTTGGTTTTTCCACACGCTTCTTGCGACCCTGTTGACTATTTTGAATGAAACGCTTGATTGTTCGATGATCACGCTTCAGAAGCTTTGCAATTTTAAGAGTGCTGCATCCCTCTGCAAGATATCTCACTATTTTTGACTTTTCTGAGCCTGTCAAGTCCTTCTTTTGACCCATTTTGCCAAAGGAAAGGAAGTTGCCTAATAATTATGCACACCTGATATAGGGTGTTGATGTCATTAGACCACACCCCTTCTCATTACAGAGATGCACATCACCTAATATGCTTAATTGGTAGTAGGCTTTCGAGCCTATACAGCTTGGAGTAAGACAACATGCATAAAGAGGATGATGTGGTCAAAATACTAATTTGCCTAATAATTCTGCACTCCCTGTAAGTGTATAAGAGTGACTACATCATGCCATAAAATAAGTGTGACCTAAGTGTGAACCCAGTTGCTAAAGGAGAAGGTAAAGCCAAAGAAGCTCTAGATGAAATTTAAGTGAGTAAATAAATCATGACCTTGCCCAAGGGTATAGGTTGAAGGTCACACAGGTCTCCAGCTTTTTAAAAATGCTTAGCTATTCTTTGACCTATATTAGGAATATATTCTATTTTCTTGTAGTATGCTCTACTGGATGACAATATTACTGACATTAGACAAATGAAAATGGCTGATAGTTGCCCGGTAGATAAAGGTGAGATGTTTGGTAGTTTTATATTTTTGATTAATTGATGAATATACACTTCAAAAACACTCCAATGTTGATACATTAGGAATCCCCTTCCCCCTCCCACACAAGGAAGAATGACTTGGGACAAGCCTGTCAGGGCTATCTAGAAGAGACACATCTTACATGGGCACCAATTGGTTAGACCTCTCCAATCCTGAAGGTGGAAGATTGGAAGTTGAAGTGGAGTGTAGATCCTTCCCTTTCACATGCTGACATTAAGTCATGTCCCATTTATGGCTTTTATCTGGCACTTGATGCAGTATAAATATGCCCTTGGACTTTTTCTTATATCTTTACCCAGTTGAGCTGGATGCTTCTCTCTCAGGGATGTCTCAACCTGGTAACTTAGCATTATTATTGCCTACATATTAAATGTCACTGGGACTGATGAGTGAATTTTATGACCATAACTCACCTTTACCATGACTTTGAGTTCTATTTATGAATAATTATGGCTATAGTTAATTTATATATAATTTTTATGGTTCGTTTTATGAGTTCCACTAATGTAGTTTTGCTAGAGGTTCTGGTGCTTAGAGTGTCCTTTTCATATAGGTCAGATAGGAGACGATTGCAAGGGTTATTAGTTAAAACTTTATTTGTTGTATTAGACATAACACATTTACTGAAAATAAAGAATAAAGGGCAGTCTGCCACAAACAGGATACTTTGTGAGAAAAAACAGGGTTTAGGCGATATGCCACAAACAAGATCTTTAGAAGGTAAATGAATAAAGTCTTTTGTATACAAGCAGGCTTGAAGTTATACCAAGTAGTTAAAGATTTCCAGAATATTTTGTAATGCAACTAGTTATAGGTAAATACCTTTTAGGATAAGACCATACAGGATCATGCAGAGTTGCAGAGGTTGAAAAAGGTAGGTATATTCCAAAATAATATAATGCAGGTTGCTTACGAGATCATGCAGTGATGCAGCAATTGAAGCAGTTAAGATTCTTCAATGAAGGCAATACGTCACAAATCAGGATTCTTGGAAGCTTATAAGGAAAATCTTTCAGGCAAGTTCAGGATGAAGTAATGCAGGTTAGTGCCTTTCAGTATGAGGAAATGCAGACGAGTACAGGATGAGGCACGGCAGGTAAGTTCTCTACATAATGAAATAATGTAGATAAAATACAGGATATTACCAGGAACAGAGATTCTTTATCAGAGCATAGACTTCATTGTCAAACCACTGTTGTGTGCCGGGAGTAGACTTATCAAGCCTCCTAATTAGTTAATCCAGGTGAGGTTATTAAGGTGAGTGAATAGATTAGTGACTAGGGAGGCCACTAGAGGAGAAAATCATGAAGTTCACTTAAAGGGCCAGTAATAAACGAAAAAGTTTTACATGTCAGTTTGGAAACCTGACAGTCCTTTTACACATGACTTGGTGAGGGCAGATAAAACCGGAAAACCTTTATAGACTTTAAATTGTGTTACTTGTAGTACAGATTTTGTCTTCATCTTTTGTCTGTTCTGGTGGTGAGATCTGGTTGCCTTTAACCCTTAAACTTCCACATAAGGTTTCCAGATCCAGCATTTTTTCCAGGTCATATATTGTTTTTTCAGGTTTAGAAGCAGCACATGAAAATTACTGACCACCATTATGACTAATGACACAATTTCTGCGTTCCATGTGCTGTCAATCAATATCTATGTGCTAAGTGTTCAGGTACAGATGGTGGATCTGACAATTCTATTTCCACTACTTTATCAAAGGCTAGCCTATTACAACACCCACTTACATCTGCTCTATTACCCTGTAAGGTACAGACTGAACTTATTCCGAAAACATTTTGTAGCTTCTGGACCATTGATTTTTTTCTAGCTATTCCTGAATTTGTTAAAATCTTCTGCAGGTGAATGTGATGTGAGTTGCAGCTCGCAGCAGCTTTGGTGATGCTTGTTATTTATTGATGGACATCCATTTAGCTGGACTTCAAAGAACATGTGACTTCACGGCATATGTAAACAGTTATGATTTGGGGAAAACAAACATGAAGTTCTGTTCCTGACATCTGGACAATTTTGAAAGAATCATAACAATGCACTACAAAAAAAGTTTATTCTTGAAAGAGCGAATTAAAGTGGATTTAGGCTAAATAATCAAACATACGAATGTTGCTAAGCTGAACCAAATGGAATACTTTACTATAGTGAATAGAATTCCCTCGTACATATGTATATCCTTAACAAATAGCGGGTTCTTCATTTACACCCTGTCTATCTTTGGCTCCTCTAGGTTCTCAGATGTAGGCAGTAGTGCCAAACTTACTTCTCTCTTATTCCTATTTTAACAGAGCTTCCGGGTGATTCTAATTAATATGTAATGTAGTAACACTGTGTAGCATATAGCAATGCATTTAATAGCTGACAAATCCATGTCTCTGACAACTGAATTTCAACACTGGCATGCATTTTGCTATCGTGTGTGCCAGCATCCCAGCACTTCCACCTTATGTGGCTAACTAGAACCACATTTATTGGGAAATTTTAAATGCAGTTAAAGAGACCTTTATAGTCTTCAAATGGTGATATTTTCAGTACAACATAGTTTGTCTTTATAATTTTATTCTCAGCAATGTCTTCAGACCAGTTTTACCATCCTGACTCTCTCCCCTTTCTTTTTCTCCCCTTTTCACCTCATCACCCTCCTCTCCCTGTCCATCTTTAATTTCTCTCTATTTTACGGGTTATTCCTGAATTCTTACCATGGCCAGGACATTGCCTATTTGCACATCGACTCATTTTGCATGTTACTTTGTCTCATTTTATTTAGCAGATTATCTTGTTTTTTTCACTTTACTGGACTAAAAAAGTTCTAATTTGGTTATAGTTCAGCACATTGTTTTGGCTTCTCCACCATGTAAACATTGTACTGTACAATTAAATCAAGAATAAACATCTCGCTGCACGCATTATGGATGGTGGGACTGAATATAAGAACTTGCTTGTGGCATGCTTGAAACAGCAAACATTAATTGTAACTTGTCAAATCCTTCAAATAAAAATGTAATGCCGTGTACAGACAGAGTGAAAAGTAAACACTGAATACATGGTTAGACTTGTTATCTGGAAGACACAAGAGAGAATAATGAACTTGTCACGTATTTGAGCAAATACTACTAGGTTATACTTGATTAACATATTCTTTACATCTTCATTTTACATAGTTACATAGCTGAAAAGAGACTTGTGTCCATCAAGTTCAGCCTTCCTCGCATTTGTTTTTTGCAGTTGATCCAAAAGAAGGCATAAAAACAGTTGGAAGCACTTCCAGTTTTGCAACAAACTAGGATTCCTTCTTGACCCCAGAATGGCAGTCAGATTAATCCCTGGATCAAGAAGCTATTACCCTACATTGAAAAATGATATCCTTTAATATTCTGTTTTTTGCAAGTATGCATCTAGTTGCTGTTTGAACATCGTTATGGACTCTGATAAAACCACTTTCCCAGGCAGAGAATTCCACATCCTTATTGTTCTTACAGTAAAAAAAAACCTTTCTTTGCCTTAGACAAAATCTTTTTTCTTCCAGTCTAAACGCATAACCTCATGTCCTATGTAAAGTCCGGTTTATGAATAGATTTCCACACAGTGGTTTGTATTGGCCCCGAATATATTTGTATAATACTATCATATCCCCTCTGATGTGATGTTTTTCTAAACTAGAGAGGTTTTAAGGTGGTTCTGTCGCCTCTGGTCATTTTTTTGTGTATTTTTTTAAATAAAAGATCTTTTCATGTTGATCAGTATTTCATTGAAATTCCAATGCAATCAAAAGATATCTTAGGACACGGATATACGTTACTAAGAAGGTTGGAGCCTTGGCATAGAATGACATAGTTCTTGGGGGAGTCCCTTGCCCCAGAGTATGCAAACTGCTGACTTGATAATTAGATCCTAAACTGGGTAGCCTCTGCTTGGAACTAACCAACTGCCCTCAATGTCCACCTTCTCTGCATACAATTTAAACCACCACTAATCCAGCTGGTACACAGACCTCCTGTCAGGACATAAAAATGTGCAATATTGCTCTAGGGCCTTGCGTGCCCATTGGAAACTGTTAACATGTATGTATATGATACTGGGGCTTGCTGGGCCCATGTGATGTTGTTATTACGCTGTGAAAAAAAAATAAAGAATAAAAAAAAAAAAAAGATATTTTAGGATAAAGTAGGGACTTCTTGAGGTTACTGTGTACTGGATCAGTGAAAAACAGCCTGTACCCTGCACTCTAGTGGCTGTGATCATACAATCCTATTGCTACCCAGTAGATTATCCAGTAAAGGGGGACATGGCGCATCCCATACCCCCATGGTGGGGCCCTAAATAAAATGAATTAACTAAGGGGGTAATGTCCCCCTCAAGTCACCACCCTTGAATTACCTGTGAAACTCCAGATTTACCTGTCGGAGCACTCTGATGTGTTGGCTCATTATAATGCTCTTTATAAGGCTTTCCCTGCCCTGCAAGTTCAGTCTGCGTGTAAACCTAGTGGGATGAGATGGATTGTTATTTCATCCAGAAAATTTTTATTTTTTTATTTTTTTATTTAATATCTGCAAAGGGACCCTTTGGATTTTTATTTGTTCTTTTTTTATTTGTTCTTTTTTGTTGCAGAAAAGAAGATGGAAGAAATAAAATATTTAATGGTAAGTATGAAATATTTATTTTATTGGTATTTTGTTTATTATGGGTTGTTAATCGACTTTTGGCCACTTAACTGGCGCTGGACGTCCTCACGCTATGAATGAAGACATCCAACATCACCAAAAAGCCCATAGGAAAGTATTAAACAGTGCTTTTCTATGGGGCTGTCCAAATGTGTACGCGGCACTGAGCACTATAGGGTGCTATAGGCTATAGGGTTAGGATTAAAATGCTGTATTCCTAACCTATAGTTTACCTTTAAAAGGTACTGTTCTGGATTACAAATTAAACGTTATCTGTTAGACTTGTAAGACTTCCCTTTTCTTTTCTCTGCTACATATACTTTTGGAAACAGGATATTCATGTGAAAGGATAGGAGTAATTAATAATTTATTAGGATGTTACTCACTACCAGGTTTTTACTATTTCCTTTTTATATAAATTAAAATAAAGGTATAGTTTTAAATAAACAGGTAAAGTAAAACAAAATCCCCCTTCACTCCTCTCTTTCTCAACTGCAATTGAACTGTACCTTTCATACCCTTAAGGCCTTCTCCCCAGCTACTGAACAGGAGGTGGCTGCACTTCTTCTTTCCTCTCATTCCACCAACTTACCATATATCTCTTCCATTGTTTTGTGCTGCACACATCTTCAACTGCTCTCTTTCTTTTGGCATTGTTCTTGTAATATTTATTTTGTAATATTTCTTTAATTGGAACTCAACTGCAGCATTTCTTGGTTGCAACAACAATAAGGTTCACCTCCTTTTATATTGGTATGAAACTATGGTCACTGTACCTTTAAATATTCATGTAGGTAAAATTAGGCTTTGTAACAATCCCTTATGAGTAAGAGGAATAATTAGACAAAGTGACACTTTAGTGAGTTTTAGATACTGTGTAATATAAATAATAGTAATTGACTTGTTTGGTAAAAGTATTACTTAACTTAAAGGCAGTTCTGGCACTGGAAGGGTTAATTCACCCAATGAAGGAGAAATTAGAAGTCCGTTTCAACAAGCTGAGAACTAGGAGTGGAGAGTGGGGAAGTCCGTTTTAACAAGCCGAGGTCTGGGAGTGGAGAAGGTAGAATTCAGAGTTACAAGCCGAGGTCTAGGAGTGGAGAAGGTAGAAATCCGTTTACAAGCCGAGGTCGAGAAGTGGAGAAGGTAGAAATCCGTTTACTAGCCGAGGTATAGAAGTGGAGCAGGTAGGATCAGAAGTAGAGCAGCTGATCTTCATGCAGCACCTGTGCGAATAATCCAGCCCTTTGAATCTGGCGCGGTCCTCCTAAGTATCGTGGAGGGACCGCGTCAGAGAAAGGGGCGGGGCTGAGCGCCGTGAACCCGGAAGTGGGTTCCGGCGATAAATTACATGCCATGCTATACCTGACAGTACCCCCTTCCCATGGGGCATCCTCTGGGTGCACTATTTCGGTTTGGAGGGATAGCGTTTGTGAAAGGCAGTAACTAACCTCCTAGCATGTACATTAGATGAATCTTCCCAAGTGTCTTCATCAACTCCATAACCTTTCCATCTGATAAGGTATTGTAAAGAGCCACGGTGGACACGAGAATCCAAAATTTTGTGAATTTCATATTCTTCTTCACCTTGGACAATGATAGGTTCAGGAGTTGTTACTATTTCTCTATAAAAAGGATCAGGGATGTGTGGTTTAAGTAAGGAGACATGGAATACTGGATGAAGTTTAAAACTTGGAGGAAGTTTTAGTTTAACAACGTTATCATTAATGATAGTAATTACTTGAAAGGGACCAAGAAAAAGAGAGCTCAATTTCTTTGAAGGACGGCTTGTGGTAATATTCCTTGAAGAGAGCCAGACAAGATCCCCTACCTTGTAAGGAGGGGGAATTCTTCTATTATTGTCAAAAAACTTTTTCTGGTTATTTTGGGCGAGTTGAAGATTCTCCCGTAATTTGAGAAATAGAGAAGACATAAATTCGTTTTTTGATGTAACAGTAGGATTGGATGAAGTAATGGTTTGGATGGGGAATGAAGACGGATGAAAACCATAGTTGGAGAAGAAAGGAGTCATTTTCGTACTAGAATGAATGGTATTATTGTAAGAAAATTCGGCCATAGGTAACCATGTGGTCCAGTCATCTTGGAGGTATGAACAATAACATCGAAGATATTGTTCCAAACATTGATTAACCCTTTCTGTTTGCCCATTAGTTTGGGGATGATAAGCGGAAGAGAGTTTGCGTTGAATTTGAAGGGAGAGACACATCTCTTTCCAGAATTTGGAGGTAAATTGTGTCCCCCTATCAGAAATAATTTCTTCAGGAAGACCATGAAGTTTCACAATATTGTCAATAAAGACCTTAGACAATTCTACAGAGGAGGGTAATTTTTTTAAAGAAATGAAATGGGACATTTTTGTGAAGCGATCCACAACGACAAGAATAGTGGTGAAATGTTGAGAAGGTGGAAGATCAACGATAAAATCCATAGAAATGGATTGCCAAGGTTTTTCTGGAATAGGTAAGTTAAGTAGTAATCCAAAAGGTTGATTATGTTCTGGTTTAGACCTTTGACAGATAGGACATGTTTTGACATATAATGCAATGGTTCTATCCTGGCGAGGCCACCAATAATATCGTGAAGTTAGTTCAAGTGTTTTCTTTATTCCAGGATGTCCAGCTAGGGGGGAATCATGAACCATCTTAAGTAATTTATTCCTAAGAATGGGAGGAATATAAATTCTATTTTTAAAATAAAATAGACCATCCTTTTTTGTTAGTATAGGTGTTTTGGGAAGTTCAAGATCCTTCTGATTCAAATTCTTTATGTCATCATGAAGAGAAGAGAGGATTCCTATTATTTTGGTAGAAGGATAATCATCAGTAGTAGTTTTAGAAGGAATTCGAGAAAGAGCGTCAGCCTTTTTATTTCTATTTCCAGGTCTGTATATTAATTGGAAGTTAAATCGGTTAAAAAATAGGTTCCATCTAACTTGTCTAGCTGTAAGGGTTTTGTTAGTATAGAGATATTCAAGATTTTTATGGTCAGTATAAACTATTATAGGTTGTTTTGTATCTTCCAGAAGATGACGCCAATTTTCGAAGGCAGCTTTAACACTTAATAATTCTTTTTCACCAATAGGATAATTTTTTTCAGCAGAGCTCAAGGATCTTGAAAAAAAGGCAACTGGATGAAGTGGATCTTGTGGAGTCTTTTGTTGAGAAAGAACTGCTCCGATGGCTGCATCTGATGCATCAACTTCAAGAACATATAGGAATGTTGGATTAGGTAGTTGTAGAATAGGTGCAGTTGTAAATCTTTTTTTTAATTCGTCGAAGGCTGTTTGAGCATCTTTATTCCAATTAAAAGGACGTTTACTACTGTTGAGGAGGTTAAGAGGATGTGATACATCCGAATAGTTTCTAATAAATTTTCTATAGAAGTTTGCAAATCCAAGAAAACGTTGTAATTCTTTTGTAGTAGTAGGAGCAGGCCAATCAATAATACATTTGATTTTGGAATTATCCATCTTCAAAGAATGAGGTGAAATAATGTATCCTAGAAAAGAGAATTCAGTAACCTCAAAAAGGCATTTTTCTGGTTTAGCGTATAATTTATGAGTTCTCAGTCTAGATAGAACCCATCTAACATGTTTCCTATGTTCATCCAAATTGTTAGAATATATTAAGATATCATCTAAGTAGATAATAACACATACATCCAGAAGATCTCTAAAGATATCATTGATAAAATGTTGAAATGTTGCAGGGGCATTACAGAGCCCGAAAGGCATCACTAGATATTCGTAGAGACCATATCTTGTCCGGAAGGCGGTTTTCCATTCATCATCCTGTTTTATTCTAATGAGGTTATATGCGCCTCGAAGGTCGAGTTTAGTGAATATAGTTGCAGTTCTTAACCTTTCAATTAATTCATTTATTAGTGGAAGAGGATAACGATTTTTAATAGTTATTTTATTTAAGGCTCTGTAATCTATAATAGGACGGATGGTTTGGTCTTTATTCTTCACAAAGAAAATACTAGAAGCAGCAGGAGAGGTCGAGGGTCTGATGAACCCTTTGCGTAAATTTTCATTAAGATATTCTTTTAAAATTTCTAATTCCTTTTCAGAGAGTGGATAAATATGACCGTAAGGAATAGGAGCTCCGGGTATGAGATCTATTGGGCAATCATATAGCCGATGAGGAGGAAGTGTTTCCGCTTCTTTTTTACAAAAGACATCTGCAAAGTCGGAGTAGAATGGAGGTATAACTGGTTCTACAGTAGTTTGGAGAATAGGAATGTGTTGTAAGCACGTTTTTTTACAGAAATCAGAAGCAAAGGAGATGGAGAAGGGAGACCACTTAATTAAAGGATCATGGTTTTTTAACCAATTAATTCCTAGAATGACGGGATAAAGTGGAGATTTAATAATATCAAATGTAATGAATTCGAAATGTACGTTGTTGGTAATCATTCTTAGAGGGATTGTTTCATCTTTGATGGGTCCTGAGGATATAAATGAACCGTCAATAACTCTGATTGGAATAAAATTGGTTTTTTGAACACAAGGAATTTTATTTTTTGAAACAAAAGAAAAATCAAGAAAAGTTCCATTAGCACCAGAATCAATGATGGCCTCAGTCACGATTCTTTTTGTATCCCACTGTAATATGAGAGATATAGAAAAATAAGTAGATGCTTTTCTTTTTTGAAAAACGTTCAATATAGAGGTAGATGAATGAAGCTTACCACCTTTTGAATGTTTCAGTAGAGGACATTCGGAAATTAGATGTTCATTCGAAGCACAATACATACATAAGTTTAGTTGTCTCCTTCTTATTCTTTCTTCAGAAGTAAGAGGACTTTTTATTATACCTACTTCCATAGGTTCAGTTTGTGGAGGAATTTTTTCAGGTAGTTTTAGAGTAGTGAAAGGTTTTCTCCAGGTAGAATTAGTAAGAACCCTTTCAGCTTTTCTTTCTCTTAGACGTCTATCAATACTGATAGACAGTTGAATCAATGCATTTAAGGTAGGAGGAAGTTCTGTACGAGAGAGTTCATCTTTCACAGCTTCAGATAATCCGAGACGGAATTGATTGCGTAAAGTAATGTCATTCCATTGGGTTTCTGTAGCCCATCTTTTGAATTCTGCAATATAATCTTCAACAGGTCTATTCTTTTGGTGTAATGTTCTGATGGTTAAATCAGCAGTAGTTTGTTTAAAAGGATCTTCATATAATAAAGACATAGCTTCAAAGAACTCATCCAATGAATCCAATATGGGATCATCATTTTCCAAAAAGGAATGGGCCCAGGCCATAGGTTCACCTCTTAAAAAAGAGATCACTGAACAGACTTTGGATCTTTCGGTGGGATAAGATCTAGGTTTTAAAGCTATTAGTAGTTTGCAAGAATTCAAAAACTCTCTGTACTTTGTTCTATCTCCATAAAATTTTTCTGGATTACAGACAGCAGGATCACCAGCCGATTGAAGAGCGGCATGAGGAAGATGACCTTGAATGTCTCTAACATAGGTTAATATTCTCTCATTTGTAATTTGCAGTTCCTGTAACCCTTGAGCAATCGTATCCACTCTATTGGTTAGGGCAGAAACTTGAGAGTTAATATCTGCTGGTTCCATTTAATATTGGCTGGATTATTCTGTAATATTTATTTTGTAATATTTCTTTAATTGGAACTCAACTGCAGCATTTCTTGGTTGCAACAACAATAAGGTTCACCTCCTTTTATATTGGTATGAAACTATGGTCACTGTACCTTTAAATATCCATGTAGGTAAAATTAGGCTTTGTAACAATCCCTTATGAGTAAGAGGAATAATTAGACAAAGTGACACTTTAGTGAGTTTTAGATACTGTGTAATATAAATAATAGTAATTGACTTGTTTGGTAAAAGTATTACTTAACTTAAAGGCAGTTCTGGCACTGGAAGGGTTAATTCACCCAATGAAGGAGAAATTAGAAGTCCGTTTCAACAAGCTGAGAACTAGGAGTGGAGAGTGGGGAAGTCCGTTTTAACAAGCCGAGGTCTGGGAGTGGAGAAGGTAGAATTCAGAGTTACAAGCCGAGGTCTAGGAGTGGAGAAGGTAGAAATCCGTTTACAAGCCGAGGTCGAGAAGTGGAGAAGGTAGAAATCCGTTTACTAGCCGAGGTATAGAAGTGGAGCAGGTAGGATCAGAAGTAGAGCAGCTGATCTTCATGCAGCACCTGTGCGAATAATCCAGCCCTTTGAATCTGGCGCGGTCCTCCTAAGTATCGTGGAGTGACCGCGTCAGAGAAAGGGGCGGGGCTGAGCGCCGTGAACCCGGAAGTGGGTTCCGGCGATGAATTACATGCCATGCTATACCTGACAGTTCTAGATCCTCTTAAACATGCTACTGTTCTACCAGTCCTTAAAAAAGTAATCTCTTGACCATTCTTCCCCTTCCAAGTATCGTCCCATATCCATGCTCCCTTTTTTTCTTCAAAGTTTCTGATAAGACTTGTATTTGCCCATTTGTCTTGTTTCCTCAATTCCAACTCTCTCCTTAACCCACTCCACTGAGACTGCTCTGATTAAAGTTACAAATGACCTAATCGCAGCTAAATTCAAAGGTCACTACTCAATACTAATTCTTCTTGATCTGTCTGCTGCCTTTGACACTTTTGATCATGTCCTCCTTCTCCAAACTTTTCAATCTCTCGGTCTCTGTGACACTGTCCTCTCGTGGTTTTCCTCCTATATCTTCCAACATTCATTAAGTGGCTTCTTTTCCAATTACACCTCCTCCACTCGTCCTGTCTCAGTTGGAGTCCCCCAATCTTTGCAAGCTTGCTTTCTTGGTATTATCTTTGGTATTATTATCGATCCTGGCCTCACCTTTGCACTTCACGTCCAGTCTATTGGGAATCATGCTGATTCTACCTTAAAAACACTGCCCACATCCGTTCCTTTCTTACGCAAGATGCTGCCAAGGAGCTTCTTCATGCTCTAGTAATTTCTTGTAATTGTAATGAATGCTGCCGCCAGGCTAATCTTTCTCTCTTGTCTCTCCTCTCACACTTTGCCCCTCTGTCGATCCTTACACTGGCTTCCTGTACCCTAAAGCTATATAATACATAGTGGGGGTCCTGCTAGGGAAGATACGAATGGCACAACATAGTGCAAGATTGTATATACACTCAAGCAAAATATATTTCAGTTGGCCACTCACAATTTACGAATTAAGGATGGTTCTTCAGGATGACGTCAGGATGGTTTGTGTCAAAAAATTTTGATCACAAGGGAGCATTCAGAACAGTATAAATACACAGATACCTTCCAAGATCTCCATCTTAGAGATATTGGTTAAACAGTCCAATGCTGTAGAGCGGAAGAGAGACACAATGCAGCAAGAATATAGAGAATGCTGAATAAAGTGCAAAAAAACAACAACCAGATTTATTTACTTACACAGACGTTAATAACAGCATACATGTAGTGTCACCACCAGTACTATGCGTTTCATCCCAAAAGGGACTTTCTCAGGGAAAGTATGGAAAGTATTGTAGTGTGTGCAAGTCCAATGTGAATATTATATTTATTGAAAAAAAGGGCATGAAATGCAAGCATGTTTTCATCGATAGTAAATCTACCAAATAGTGATTTTATGTGAGAAAGCAGAAAAATAATCTGCTAGACACGCATGTAATAGGTAAGGAATGTGTGTGATTTTTTTAATATTCTTTGGAAATAATGCAATTTAGTAAATATGGGGTTTATATGCTTAGAGCTGTATGATTCATCCTGCAAAGCATGAAATGTTTGTTATTTATGCTGAGAAACAAGCACAGAAAAAGTCATGAAATCCACTCTTATCCTATTATGGCATGCACAGACTTCAAAGTTGTTGCTATCTCCTTAACTAACGCTGGAATTGCAAAATGTTAACATTCTATAACTTTAAAGGGGACATTTCTAAAATGGTTTAACTAGTTTACATGGGATGGCATCAATGTACTAATTGTTACTTTAATCTAACCAAACTTTTGTGCATTTAGAAAAAAATCACAGGTGTGGATAAGCGCTGGAAGAACAACTGACAAAATATAGTCAGCAAACTCTGGATATAGGGTATACCCTCAAAACCCCCCAAAATAACAACATAAAACACACAAAAACAGGTTGCGCCAATGGATACATATAAAGGTAAAACAAGTAAAGAAGTATATATAGAATAAATAATACATAAATGTATAAAGTCCAATATTTACAGTCCAATGATCACAATCCCAGCTGATTGATATGTATCAGTTCTTGATTAACCCCTTAAGACCGCAGCCAAATGTACAAGTTGTTATCCAAAAAAAAGTAAACAAACCACAGAATTTTACTATATGTCTGTTCAACAATAATTTCATACTAAGTGCACTCACACTTATTATATATCATTTTATTCAGGGGAAACAGGGCTTTCATTTAACATCAAATATTTAGGTATGGAACATAATTTAATATGAATAAAATATAAAAAAATGGGTGAAAATAAGATTTTAAAAAAAATTTCTTAGTTCTATGTGACATTTTAACTGTGAATGTCAAAATACTGTTTGCTTTTACTGCAATAAAATATACATATTTGTATTCAGCGATGTCTCACGTGTAAAACAGTACCCCCTATGTACAGGTTTTATGGTGTTTTGGGAAGTTACAGGGTCAAATATAGCATGTTACATTTTTTGTTTTTTCACATTGAAATTCGCCAGATTGGTTACGTTGCCTGTGAGACTGTATGGGAGCCCAGGAATGAGAATTACCCCCATGATGGCATTCCATTTGCAACAGTAGACAACCCAAGGTATTGCAAATCAGGTATGTCCAGTGTTTTTTATTAGCCACTTGGTCACAAACACTAGCCAAAGTTAATGTTAAAATTTGTTTGTGTGTGAAAAATGCAAAAAACTAATTTGAACGCCAATTTTGGCCAGTGTTTGAAAAATGCAAAAAACTTCACTTTCACTGACGATATCATCATTGTAATACATTTTACGGTTTTGAAACACAAATATTTGTGTTAAGCGATGTCTCCCGAGTAAAACTACCCCCCATGTACAGGTTTTATGGTGTCTTGGAAAGTTATAGGTTTAAATATAGTGCTAGCAAATTAAATTCCCTGTACTTTCGGTCTGGGTTGTCAGGCGGGTCCCGCAAATTGTAATTAATAAAAGGACCTAATTATGTAAAATTATTACATAAATATACATGTAAAATTATATATATATATATATATATATGTGTGTATATATATATATATATATATATATATATATATATATATATATATATATATATATATATGTATATAATTTTTATTTTTATTTATATATAGGTATACATATAGTGATATATACGTATATATATAGATATATATATTATTTCGTTCTACATGTATTTTGATATCAATATATATATATATATATATATATATATATATTACTATAAAAATACAGTTAGAACGAAATTACACACATATATATATTTTTTAAATTATTTATGTTTTTTTTAATGTATTTACATATCTTTTATTATATATAAATATATATATATAATTATAATTATATATATTTCATCAATATCATTCTAAGTGTATTTTTATATTAATATATATATATATAGTTATATATATATATATAGTTATATATATATATATATATATATATTAATATTAAAATACACTCAGACAGTGTATGTGTAAATATATACTTAGATCATATATATATATATATATATATATATATGATCTAAGTATATTTTATTTTTAACTGTAATTTATTTTATTTTGTAACATTAAGGGGTTAAAAGGGGCAGAGACAGTGTCAGCCAGTGATTTCACATCATTGGCTGACACACAGGATCAGTGATCACAGTGACTGGCTGTCACTGTGATCACCTCCTGCAGATCGCGGTAAATGGCCATAGGGGGAGTGCCTAGGTGGCCAGGCATGCCCCCCACCGCGATTTGTAGGGGGATCCTGCCTGCAGTTACTATGTGTCAGCCAATAGGCTAACACATAGTAACTCTGATCGCAGTGAGAGGCTGTCACTGCGTTCAGATCGCAGTGACAGGCTGTCTCTGCGATCAAGATGAGCAGATCGCGGTCACTGACCACAGGGGGACTGCCTTGGGGGCCAGGCATGTCCCCCGACTGCAATCTGCATCTGAAAAAATGCTGCGGCTCCATGTGTCAGCTGATTTTAAAAACGACTGATACATGGTAAATGCCGATCGCAGTGACATACTGTCACTGCAATCGGAGGCTGCAGACCACGGTCACTGGGCACAGGGGGGCTGCCTGGAGGACCAGGCCTTCCTCGTGACCGCGATCTGCAACGGGGTAATGCTTACCGGCCACGTGGGAGGTAAGACCGCCATGCAGCGTTTAGAGCCAGCCAATTAAGGACAGCATTGAAAGCCCTGCGGTTTTAAGGGATTAAGGTGCTTGTCAACATATGTAAAAAGATACAAAATGAAAGATAATAGTGCAGACTGTTTAAGCAGGAATATAAAACTCTCAATAATGGTAATTGGCATTGCACTCACATTTCGTAGAGCTTAAACTAGCTCTAAGTAAAATTGCTTGCAGCGGTACAATCCCAACTGATGGATATAAAACTCTGAATACCAGTGTCTCAGCGTACAGATGATTATATAAAAAACACAAAAAGAGATACACAGTAGTGCTCACTGTAAGTACAATTAATATAAAAATATATGAATGTATTTTACTCACATTTGATAGAGCAGTGAAATGCTCAAATATCTGCGCATTGGTGGTATAATTCCCACCAGGGATATGGTTTGGAGTAGTTGTCCAAAATTGAAGTTGGAAGTGCCAGGAACAAATAAAACAGTTAAAAACTATTAAAAAGCATAAAAAGTGTAATAAATGGTCAATAGGTCAATAGGCAACGTTCGGCACTCCCAATGCCGTGGACTACATCTCCCACAATGCTCTTACAGCCATAATGCTGGTAAAGCATCATGGGAGGTATGGTCCAAAACATCTGCAGTGCCAAAGTTTACCTATACCTGGTCATATAATAAATGAAAACCATATATACTTTAATGATAAAAGAAATAAAACAAATACTACACAAGTGTTTCATCAATAAAAGCTTTTTTCAAGTGTAAACAGATTGACCTGGCACATAAGGGTATATATAGGTGGTAATGGCAGTTAAAATTAGAATGTTGGTGCCAAAATTAAGTCCTTTGACCTTTGACCTCAATAAGGTCACATGATATATACAATATGAAGTTAATCGAAAAAGGAAGTTGGGTGGTGCCCATCTTTGATATGGGCATACTATGGGAAATAAAAAGGTAGTACTAAATGCCTTTTTAGGAAAGCTGTAAAAGAACCAAAAAGCAACACAAAAAAAATCATATATATATTGTATATGTGTGTAAACTTTAGGTTGTATGTTTTTACCAAGATATAAAATGAATAGAGGCAATTCAAAACAATAATAGTGGATAACATATTAATAAATATATATATATATATATATATATATATATATATACACTGCTCAAAAAAATAAAGGGAACACAAAAATAACACATCCTAGATCTGAATGAATTAAATATTCTTCTGAAGTACTTTGTTATTTACATAGTTGAATGTACTGACATGCAAAATCACACAAAAATAAAAAAATGGAAATCAAATTTTTCAACCCATGGAGGTCTGGATTTGGAGTCACACTCAAAATTAAAGTGGAAAAACACATTACAGGCTGATCCAACTTTGATGTAATATCCTTAAAACAAGTCAAAATGAGGCTCAGTAGTGTGTGTGGCCTCCATGTGCCTGTATGACCTCCCTACAACGCCTGTGCATTCTCCTGATGAGATGGCGGATGGTCTCTTGAGGGATCTCCTCCCAGACCTGGACTAAAGCATCTGCCAACTCCTGGACAGTCTGTTGTGCAACGTGACGTTGGTGGATGGAGCGAGACATGATGTCCCAGATGTGCTTAATTGGATTCAGGTCTGGGGAACGGGCGGGCCAGTCCATAGCATCAATGCCTTCGTCTTGCAGGAACTGCTGACACACTCCAGCCACATGAGGTCTAGCATTGTCTTGCATTAGGAGGAACCCAGGGCCAACCGCACCAGCATATGGTCACAAGGGGTCTGAGGATCTCATCTCGGTACCTAATGGCAGTCAGGCTACCTCTGGCGAGCACATGGAGGGCGGTCCCCCAAAGAAATGCCACCCCACATCATTACTGACCCACTGTCAAACCAGTCATGCTGGAGGATGTTGCAGGCAGCAGAACGTTCTCCACAGCGTCTCCAGATTCTGCCACGTGTGTCACATGTGCTCAGTGTGAACCTGGTTTCATCTGTGAAGAGCACGGTGGCCCTCATACCACCTTCATGGAGTCTGTTTCTGACCGTTTGAGCAGACACATGCACATTTGTGGCCTACTGGAGGTCATTTTGCAGGGCTCTGGCAGTGCTCCTCCTGTTCCTTCTTTCACAAAAGCGGAGGTAGCGGTCCTGCTGCTGGGCTGTTGCCCTCCTACAGCCTCCTCCACGTCTCCTGATGCACTGGCCTGTCTCCTGGTAGCGCCTCCATGCTCTGGACACTACGCTGACAGACACAGCAAACCTTCTTGCCACAGTTCGCATTGATGTGCCATCCTGGATGAGCTGCACTACCTGAGCCACTTGTGTGGGTTGTAGACTCCATCTCATGCTACCACTAGAGTGAAAGCACCGCCAGAATTCAAAAGTGACCAAAACATCAGCCAGGAAGCATAGGAACTGAGAAGTGGTTGTGGTCACCACCTGTAGAACCACTCCTTTATTGGGGGTGTCTTGCTAATTGCCTATAATTTCCACCTGTTGTCTATCCCATTTGCACAGCAGCATGTGAAATTGAAGTGTTGCTCCCTAAGTGGACAGTTTGATTTCACAGAAGTGTGATTGACTTGGAGTTACATTGTGTTGTTTAAGTGTTCCCGTAAAGGAGCGAGAGATTATCATGACAGACCTTTGCCCTATGCACAGAGCTGAAGTCAGGTTATTATGGCATGTATGCCAGCAACCTTCAGAAGGCGAAGAGTGTATTGTGAAAGAAATGGGAAAAGCTTCATGAGAGCTCAGTGACAACAGCAGCCAGGGAGACATTCAGGCAGCTGTATGGATTAATGTGTATGTCAGTATCTGTGTATGTTTATGGCTTAGTCTGTGTCTGTATGGGTCAGTGTTTGGTGTGTGTCCACATGGGTCAGTCTGTGTGCCTGTATGGGTCAGTGTGTATATCAGTGAGTGTGTGTATACATATATGGGTCAATGTATGTGTGTGGGTCAATATGTGTGTCAAAGAATGTTTGTGAGTATGTGTCAGTGTTTAGGTCAACATGTGTCTATATGGGTCACTGTTGGTGTGTCACTGAGTGTGTATGTTTGTAAATATATTTATATTTATATATATATATATATATATATATATATATATATATATATGACATTCTGTTGATATGGATCAATGTTGCTGTCAGTATGTCAGTAAGAGTGTCTTTATGGTTCAGCCTGTGTGTATCAATGTGTAGGTGTGTGTGAGTGAGAGTGTCTTTTTTTGTGTTAGTGTATGTATGTATGTATGTTTCAGTGGGTGCTAGTATGTGAGTATGCTTGTCAAATAGTGCATCAATTCCATAAATAGGAGAGAGAGAGAGAGATTAATGAAGCAGTCTTGTATAATTCATGACCCTGCAGTCTTACTGCTCAGTTCTCTGTTATTTATGTGTTAAATCACTTTATTTTTTGTTTTTGCAGTCATAGCCACACTTCCCTGGATTGTGACTCACACAGCCTACATGAAAACAAAATGATTTCATTTTCAATTACTTTTAAAGTTTTATCTCCTGCTCTGTATAGTGAACTATAATCACACACAGGAGTCTCCTGCAGGGTTTAGTGAGCTATTAACAGAGTAGGAGATAAATTCAAAATTAAACAGAATTTGCAGTCAGGGCCGGCGCATGTGCTGTGTGTTAGTGTGTTTATTTTTGTTTCAGTTGGTGCTAGTATGTGAGTATGCTTGTCAAAGAGTGCATCTAGGGGGGTAAGGGGTAGGGAGGGGAGAGGACCTCTAAGGGACAGAGAAAGGAGGGGAGAGGTACACCAAGGAACAGGGGAGGGAGGGGAGATACACTAAGGAACAGGGAAGTGAGGGGAGATAAACACCAAGAGACAGGGAGGGGTGGGGAGAGATAAACTAAGAAACAGAGAAGGGAAGGGGGGGGACTACTAAGGGGTAGGGGAGGGAGAGGACCACTAAGGGACAAGGAAGGGAGGGTAGAGGAAACCACTAAGGGACAGAGAAGGGTGGGAGAGGAAACCACTAAGGGGAGGGGAAGGGAGACCACAAAGGGACAAGGAGAGGAGACCACTAAGGGACAGGGAAGGGGGGGGGAGGAGACCACTAAGGCACAGGGGGAAGAGAGGAGACCACTAAGGGATAGGGGGAGATGAGACCATTATGAGATGGGGGTGCTAATAAGGTCCTGGAGGGGAGGAAAGACCACTAATGGACAAGGGCGTTGTGGAAGAGAGCACAAAGAAATGGCGGAAGAGGTGAAAGAGACACATAAAGGGGCTGGTGGAGGAGAAAGAGGCACAGAGGGACATGAGGAGGGTGAAATACACACACAGAGAGGTTGGGGATGAAAGAGACACACAGAAGGGCCTTGGGGGAATACATAGAATGGTTGCGGGGGAGACACACAGAGGGCCTGGGCAGGAGACAAATGGGCTCGGGGTGAAAGAGACACACACAGAGGAGCTGGGAAGAGTAAAAGACGCAAGGGGTTTGGGAGAGAAGGATACACACAAAGGGGCTGCAGTGAGTAAGACATATAAAATGTGTGAGGATGCAAGAGTCATACAAAGAGGTGGGAAAAGAGGCACACAAGGGGGTTGTAAGAGATACTCAAGGGAGGTGTAAGACACACAATGGGGAAAAATAGGTAATAAGATGCACTAAAGGGGGTAAGACATTAAGAAGAGGGGATACGAAACACAAAACAGGGGTTAAGATTTTTGGGGGGAGTGGGGCAGAAAAATGCATCTTTGCCTGTGTACCCAAAAATCCTTGCACCGGCCCTGGTCACAGTCACATATCTGCTTGCAATAAGATGTAACGTGTATAGTTATTTACAATACCTGACAATGTTTTATCTGTTAGTAGTTAGGAGTGTATGGTTGACATGTGACAACCTGACATAGAAGAATATTTAATTTGATTGCATCCACAAATAATAACCTTTTAAACACAGAGTTTGTTTTTCAAAGATTTGTAGAGTTCTTGCAAACAGTATGAGTTATTTTCTGTATAATATAATCTAAATGTTTGCTTGTACTTTCAAGAGAACATTTATGCTTCGCACTACACATCTGTCTAAAATATGTGAATACGTTCTACACATATACACAGACAAATGTGCTGCTAAAACACAGTGTGATCCACAAAAAAAATCCAAGTCTGTTTTTTTTTTTTTACATGAATTGTCTTTTTTTTGCAGGGGTAAATGGGGGTGTTGCGGGAGGTCTCTGTACAGTACATATTGCTGAGATAATTCTCTGAACAAACTTCTTTTTTATTGCAGAGATTGTTTCCCAGTCATACTGTTATGTTCATTCTGTACATTAATTTGGCCACAGTACATGGAATGCAGAGAGTGCATGCAATGATAAAATGAAATATAGTCTGCTGTTTCTCAGACTCAGCTGATTTTTCATGTGCATGTCCCAGTGTAATTCTTTGCAGTCCAAGATTACAATTATGGCACAGAAAGTAATCTGACCAAACACTAACACAGTTTTATATGTGTATGGGAATTTTAATTATTTATGTAGTGTCCATCGCACTCACATTATTCAGAATTTATTTGTATGTAGCCTCGTGCAGTAAATGACTCTGTGGCCATAGCAACTGGGCTGATATATCTTGCATCTAATCCAGTATGTCGTGGCCTGTAAGGAGCCAATCTGCTGAAAGGATGTTGACTGACCACTTTTATTTTTTATAAGGCAGGTATCCAATAAGAAGCTGGAAGAACGCAAGCTAAATGTTAAATAAGAATGCACACCAAGGAGCATGCTGGGCTCCAAGTGAACTTAATGCACCCAAATGCCATTGATGACTAAACAAAGTGATGGTATATATAATATGCAACAAAACACTGTGATTATTAAACCCACCGCTTTTAAAAATTAAAAATGTAAGTGAAATATTTACATGAAATTGGGTGAAATATGGAATACTCACACAAACTATGTCCACATTGACATTCCAATATATTGTATTCAATTGTTGTTTTTTAGAAAACATTTAAGAATGCTCAGACCATCCACAAGTAAAGACACCTGTACAGCCTATTCTGGACCCCAGGCATCTGAAACCACTTGGGACCAGAACAGTTTTCCTCACCAGTAGAAAGTTCTCTAAAGTTACTTCCAGGTGCCATTTCATGGTAATCTGTCAAATGGTTTGACACTTATATTGCTGTGTTGGGCAGCCCTGTGATTTCCTATTTCTACAATATTATACTAATTCATACCTGGTTTAGACAGTATTCCCAAGCCTTTTTTCTCAATAATATAAAATTTTCCAGGACTCCTGAATTGTGTCTATATGTCTGCTTAGCTTAGCAGAATATTATCACCAAAAAACTGATTTGGGAAATGAATCTGGCAAACTTGCTAAAAGGAAGCGACAATAGGCTAATCAGTGTACTGATAAATATATATATAATAATGTTATATTATGTACATATTTAGTAGTACACCGCTTGGAGCATTTTACCGCCATTTGGTTCACAGCTCAAGTAAGAACAAGTAACCAAAAGAGGAGGAACAGTGGTGGGGGGGATAGTGGCTGTAGTGAGGTGGATAGCGGCTGTGGTAAGGAGATTAGGCGCTATACTGGGAAGACAGGGGCTGTAGTGTGGGGGATTTAGAAAATTAGTATTTAGAAAATTGGGCAGACTAGATGGGCCGAATGGTTCTTATCTGCCGTCACATTCTATGTTTCTATGTTTCTATGGATATGGGCTGTATTGGCTGGATAAGTGCAGCACAAAAATTAATTAAGGGGCACCTATCACGGAACCTTAATGCATATTCTTTTGAAAGAGCATGGAATTCCATCTATATATTGTGTTAGCAGATTATAAATTGGGAGAGAAAAAAATATTTACGAATATGTCCTTTTTTTCAATCTACAATTAATCATTCAGCATAGACTCTATTGCAAAAAAATGAGAGAGAAAAAGACACTACGACAGGTGGTACTTCTGATCTTTACACTTGCTGTTCTGTGGTTTCTATAGCTATTGCTGCTAGCACTCACTAGGGAGTATAGGAACTGAGTGGCAAGAAAGCAAACATATTGGCATCAAAGAGGGGGTTAGCCCTGCTTAATAGAAGTCTCCCGAACAAGGCCAGTGCAAGGATTTTTGCCTACCATCCCCCCAAAAATGCATTTTTACTCTTAAAGCACCCTTTTGTGTTACTTTTGAATGTCTTACTACCTTTAGTATATCTTATGTCCCTTTTGTGTCTTACACCTTTAGTGTATATTTTACACCATTGTTTTCCTTCACCTCTTTGTGTGTCTCTTAGAAACCCTTTTTGTGTGTCTCTTACATCCCCTTTGTGTGTCTTTACTCCGCCAGCTCCTTTGTGTGTCTCTTTCCTTCCCAGCTCCTCTGCGTGTCTAACACCCAATACCTTTGTGTGTCTCTTTCTCCCCCAACCCATTTCAGTCTCTCTTCCCCTCCCCTGCCCTTCTGTGTGTCTCACCCCCAGCCCCTTTGTTGGTCTCTTCTCAAGCACCCTTGTGTCTCTTTTTCATCAAACCCCTCTTTTGTGTCTCTTTCTCCCCAAGCCATTTTTGTGTGTCTCTTCCTAGCTCAGAGTATCTGCCCCCAGCTCCTTTGTGTGTCTCTTTCCCTCCCTGACCCTCAGTGTGTCTTTTTCTTCCTGGAGACCCTGTGTGTGTGTCTCTTTCTCCCTGCTGCCCCTTTGTGTGTCTCTTTCTCCCCCAGCCCCTCTGCGTGTCTCTTTCTCCCCCCAGAACTTCTGTATGTCTCTTTCCCTGAGCCCATGAGTGTGTCTCTTTCTCCAGCACCTTTGTATGTCTCTTTCCCCCAAAGTCCTGTGTTGTGCACTCCCCTCCTGCTAGTCTTCCGTACATTCCGCCCCACAGACCAGTGACCACTTATGGTTGTGTCTGCCCTGGTCCGCAAGCAGGGAAAATGAAAGAAGACTGTGTAAAAAATAAAGGAGAATTAACAGTTGATGTTATAGATGAGTAACACCCACATAGCTGAGGAGATGGAAGTGCTGGATCAGAGATAAGGTGAGTTTATATATCAAATAGTTACGTCTCAAAACATTATGTCTCTCTGTGATGTATGATCAATGCATTTAGGTGTAGGGGTGGGGAGAGTTAAAGTAAACCGGTTTTGATATTGACACACATATTGTGAGAGAACAGAATGGACTAATCTGTGAGGACTCCTTCGGCTAATAAAGTCCAGGGCACTCATGCTTGATTTAAAAAGCAAACATTTATTTGTTTAATTATTTATTTTTTTCAAGTGGCCCATTTATTTAACTGTTATTTCTTGCAAAAATAGTTCTGCTTATGAAGCATATCTTGATTTATCTCCTGGGCTAACTCATAAAATCTGGACACAATTTGGTGCTAATTCGAATCAACCCATTTCAGAGAGAATTTTGTGATGATAGTAAATTCGAAACCATGAATTTGTCTTGAACCCCCCCAGTAAGCTAAGTTGTTTAATAATTAAGCCTTAGTATATATTGAGCAGGATGTAGGGATTTCCCTAGGATATTAATGATACGGGGTAAAAATCTACACAGCGTACATATTATTTTGAAAGTCTATGCACATCACATATAAATATATAGAGCTACTTAGATAATTACAACGGGGGCTTATTGTACATGTCTTCAAATTCATTTTTAGATACAGTATCCTGTCAAAATAATGAAGTCTTGGAGGCTGTAATGTCCCCAACTTTGCAATCAAGTGTGTCTCACGGCCCATAAATATTTCTAGGAAGTTGCTGCTATAACTAAGGAGAGCTACTTTTTCGATATCTAGGTATCTCAGAGGAGAGCAAAGAGCCATGAATGTGATTGACAAAATGTTCCACGTTTGTATGAAGATAACATCTTTATGGGAAGTACTGGGTTATTGGTTGCATTAGGTTCTTTAAGTTTACATATCTGTGATATTAAACTATACAAAATAGGTCCCCCCTCCCTTACTTTACTTTAGGACCCCCACCCGCTGCTCAGGGGTGGGGGCAATGGGGGAGAACAATAGGTCCCCCCTCCCTTATTTTAATTTAGGGCCCCCACCTGCCGCTCAGGGGTGGGGGCTGGGTGGAGGACAATAGGTTCCCCCCCTTATTCTTCTTTAGGGCCCCCACCCGCCGGTCAGGGGTGGAGGCTGGGGGGAGGACAATAGGTCCCCCCTCCTTATTTTACTTTAGGGCCCCCACCCGCTGTTTAGGGGTGGGGGCTGGGGGGGAGAAACGTTTACTGTTTACTAGACTACTAGACATGCCCCTACTTGCGGTATAGCGAGTAGAGGCATAATTTACTAATACTAAGTAATCTTTACTTAGTATTAGTAAATGTGGCTCAAAGACCAATGTAGGTCTTTCAGCCTTTTAGTAGATAATTTACTAATACCGTGGGAATTAGGGAGTTATCTACTTATTCATTCCTGTCATTCCATTGACAGGCTAAGTAACTTACATTTTATATGAATGTGTGTTACTTGATTGTTGTAAGTGTTGCAAATGCTTACAGCTGAATCCTGGCTATGTTTGTATAGTTTTTATTTAGACTTTATTTATACAGTGTAACATTCTTCATTCTTCCATTGGGTAGGTATATTAGTACTTCGGCAATACTGTGCTTCGGAACTTCGGCACTTCGGAACTTCGGGAACTTCGGAACTTCGACAATTCAGAACTTCGACACTTCAGAAATTCTGCAATTGTGGAACTTCGCAATTCAGCAATTCAGCTATTCGGACATTCGGAAGTATCCGAATGTCCGAATTGCCCGAAATTCGTCCGAATTGCCATTCTGAACAAAACTAATTGCACATGTCAAATCAAAAGTCATCTTTAAACATTTGCAAAAAAAGGAAAATTAATGTAATATAGCATAATGTGGATGCTAGTTCACTAAAGAGCAATTTGAATAAATTGAAGCAGAAGGATATTGGAAGATGAATGCATTTTTACACTGAAAGTAACCATGCAACATTTGCGCTAAATGAGGTTCTGCTTTTTATTGCAAGAAAATTCCGTTATCTCCACTGAGCTATGCAGGTCTGCACTCACCGATTGTGAACATCAGCTGAGCACTATTCGCCTATGAGCTATATTGGACCTGCTTATCTCAGTGAAGACATCCAGAGGGAGAAAACTGGATGTGGCACTGGTGCCTGGCAGAACCCGGGTAAATTAAAAACCATTTTTAAAACGGTTTGACAAATGACTCTGGGAGGATGCCAGAGTACTCCTGGCACCACAACCACTACAGCAGGCTTGGAGTGTTCCTTTAGACATGGTATTGCCTCTAGTGTGAGATTACTAGTTTGCATACACAACTTTTATATTTTAGCCTATTTTTCACAAGTTGTTATGTAATATTAAATGTAGGATCATCAGGCATGCACTAATCAGGATAAACATCTTATGCAATAATTTTCATCTTTGCAAATAATAGAAATTACAGGAAAACATGCACATAAGTAGTTATGGTGTCAGGAGTTCCCTTCAGTAAGCTGTCAAACTCATTATGAACAGGTTGACCCTTACCTGGTTCTGTTGGACATTCTCATTTTGTCTGGTGTGGTCTGATACAGGTAAAGTGGAAGTTCATACTTGCAATTTTTAGCCATATCTTGCTGAAGGCGTCAGCTAGTGAAATACGAGTTTATGCTTCAGAGTATTATGGCAGACCAGAAGGACCACAGTTCCCTGATACAGCCAATTAATACCTCTATTTAGTATTGTTAGATAAACTTTTCAAATGATTTAATATATTTTTGGATACATTTTTAAAATGATTTAGTATTATGAATAATATCAGAATGTTTTAATATTGTAATTTTTTTATATTGATACATTTTTTATATATGATATATATGTAATTTTAATATTTTTTAAAATAATGGTAAAAGTTTATCCAAAAGTATTGAATCATTTTAAAAAAAAGCTTATCCAACAATATTAAATCGAAGTCTAATTGTCAAATCATTTGTAAATGTTTTGACCGTTTGCTGTGGGATGGCGCTTAGGTGTTCCTAGTGTCATAACCACTACAGTGCACTGGGGTTATGGTGCGTAGTGGATCCTTTTTAATATTTATGATACATGAATTCAAGTAAGTATTATTTATTACTTTTATTTTTTTATTAAGTTTAAGCTACATGCAATTTCCATATTGTATTATGCAGCATTGACTATAATCCAGTGACCAGATTTTAGTTCTCTCCTATTTCCTAAATAAAAGAGCACTCCAAAACAAATAACCACTGTAGCCCAGTGATTATGGTGTTAGGAGTACCCTGGTATCACCCTTTATAAGTAGTCAAACCATTTTTACCTACGGCCGGCTGGGCACTGCTCTCCACCTCCACTAATAGTACTAGAATTGTCCCTTTAGCTCGCCTTTTACAAAGTACAGCTTAGGAAACAAATAATGTAAGATTTCTTTTTTAATCCAAACAGATATTTTTATTTAGCTAATGTTTAGTAAAGTATAGTAACTGTTATAACCACTTGAATATATTATATTTTAAAATGGTATTTCGCCATTTTGAATTTGTATAATACATTTTAACATGACACAGTTTCGGCAAATCCCATGTCATTATAACAGTCCTGTTATGTTACATGTCCTCAATCAGTTAAGCAATAATAGACAACAGTTACATAAAAACAAAGAAAAAATACCAAAACAGTCTACTGTGTGAAGAACAGTACATGCCGTGCTTCAACTGTCAGATGAACGCATTTAACTCCCATGCACAGCCCATTTCTGAAGAACTATGTGATGATGCAGACGTTAATTCTGATGAAGGAGCGATTTGAATTGTGTTGCCCATGTATGAGTCTTCCCAGTTCATTAAAGTCTGAAAGTGTCCTCATTACATTGATCAACATGATTGTGCTGAAAGAGATTCTCTAGGAATAGTAAAGGTAAAAAAAAAAAAGTGCAAATATTAATAGCATCCTGCCATGACTGTAAAATTGTTGAGAGGACCTTAGGGGCAGGTACAAAAGAATGGTTGGCTTTTTCTCACAAAACTCGCAGATCTCTATGTGCATTATACTACTCCTAGCTTTGACAGGTCAAGGCTTTTGAAATTGCAGGATATAGCATCATATCCTTGCAATCTCCACCAGTATGCCCACTTACAGACACTAATCATTGCAGCTTTATGAGTCCGAACAAAATGGGCACGTGGAACAGCACCACAGAGGAGAGCCGGATCTTTGGGTCTGAAACATGTTAGGCTTTAGCTCCCCCATGGGGCACTTCCTCATGCCGATATTGTTAATACTAATAAAGCTGCAATTATTTGTGTACTCTGTTGGAGCATGGTGTTTTTGTGGTAACTGGTCCAGTCTAGAGACCTTTCTCTTCTAGCTTATCAGCAGCAGTAAGTTTTGTTATTTTTTTATATATTGTTTATTAATTATAGTTTTTGGAACATTATATAAAAGAACAATATGCAATGCACGTACATATACACATACATACACACATACACATAAATATACATATCTTCAAATAAAACACAGTATGTAACATCATATATATTTACTTGAAAATGCTTATAAACCTCTATTTCAGTTACCAAATGTTACATATATAGGAAAACAAAAAATATCTATAACTCTTTCATGGCTCAGTTTGTGTCAAATGCAGCAGTAATTTGGTGAGCATCTGCCGTTTTCTTTCTTCTAATTTATCATTTTTTTCCTTACAAACTCCCCCAAGGACATGATTCATTCTCATCATAATCTGGCATCATGGTTTATCATGTACTGAGATCCTGGGAAATGTCATAATAGCAAGTCCAGCAAGGCATGAAGAGCATTGGGATAATAGTCCACATGCCCAAGTTCAAGCCCATGCAATGCTAGGCTAACAAAGTACTTTGCCAACAAGTATCCCAACACATGTCCATTTGCTTTAATCCACAGAAGAATGGCATTGTGGGTCGGTAGCCCACAACCTCTGTGTGACTGGAATTTCCCTGGGTTGGAAACTCATAGTTCCAGATTTGCTGTTGGGTGTGTGGGTGTCACGGTAACCCCCTGAGCATGAAGACATATGGGAGTAGGTTTGTGTTTGGAAGGGGAGCCATGGCAGTTTCACGGGGAACTCCCTTTCTCATTTTTCCAGTCCCCTCATATATCTAAGTCACCCTGTGCTTATTAGAGGCACATGGTGACTGGGTAACCCAGTCTAATCTACTCAAGCCAGACTTCCACAAATTAATCAGCTAACAAGGCTCCATGTGGGAGCCCAACCAGGACAAACCTAAAAACTCTGTGAAACTGCCAAGCCGATAGGTACAACCCAATGGAACTTTAACCGGATGTAGCTCAGACCATCAAATTAAATCTTTAAAGAGGTGTTGCTAGGGCACCCCAACACCCAATTGGGACAATATTCAGCCTAGATACATTGGGGAGCCTGAACTATCCAATGACACCCTGATGGTAAGGGTACTTCATTGGGAGGACCCGGGGTGGCAGATTTTGTATTCACCAGACAACATATAGCCACAGGGAGTCATTGGTCAAGTGCCAGGAAGCTAATTATATTATCTCAAGTTACTGTTTGCTAATGTATTTAATAAGTGTACCAGGAATTGTGTTTGAGATGTGTTCTGTTGTGTGTTAATTAGCTGTGTGCTATATAAATAGATGTGCTTTTTCAATAAAGGCAGATGTTGTGTTACCCCTATACTAAGGCTCGACTGGTGTTTGGGGAAGGGCTATAGTAACTTTGGTGACTCTTTCCCAGTGCTAGGGGAATGTTGTGTGCCAGGGACCAAGGGAAGGCAGATGGCCCCATGCTCCCATTACCAGTGCTCCTCAGATGTGTGTAGTCATATTGTCTGTAAACAATGATCTAATTTCATGCCTGAAATAAAGATGTTATCTATTAGCTTGTGAAGTGCAGAACTATAAACTTTGGCCAAATGTGATACTTAACAAAAACCCACAATAACAAAACAGGAATGAAAAAATAGCAAATACCAGATGTCAAAAAAAAAAAACATAATATGTTTCCTAACTCATTTTCAAGTTAAAATGTTTAGTCCAAAGTTAATCAGCTCAAATTTAAAGTCTGGTATACAACATAATTTACCATATTAGCGAGGCACCCCAAATACAATCACAGCCTGTATAAATGCAATATGTTATGGTGCAGGGAAATGTCCTTGTGTATGTAGTTACTTAAAAGTGTAGGGTTTAACAAAATGTCCTGCAGCTTTAAGCCTGCACTAAATGTATGAATATTTATAAAGCTGGTGCGCTGGGTTCATGTTGTACAAATCTTCACTTTTTCTCATTGACTCTTTTAAAGGGACACTCCAGACCCCTAATACACTTTAGCTTGCTGAAATGCTTGAAGATGTGTTTGGACAGTAACAGAAAGTCTGGGCAGGGTTAGAAGGGGAGGGCTTGAAAGACTACAGTTTTTGTAAGCTGTTTTTATATACAATTAAAAAATGCATACTTAAATGTATGTTTTCATTGGGGTATATCTACTAAACAGTGATTATTTTTAATTGGACAGTTGAGTCCCTTTAAAAGAGAGTTGAAGCAATGCCTATTTGCATGCACAGGTAATGACCTAATAAATACTGTGCACAGCTTAATTCACAAAACTGTAAAAGGGGCCTTTAATGGACTGATAGCTTACGTTGTATAGCTGTTGTGAATGTATCCAGCAGGTCTACTCATTAAACCGAATGGAAAAGATGAGACCTACAGTCCAAAATTTTACTCTCCTTCCTGCTCTTGGGCACTCTGCTGCTGCTGCTGCTGTGAGCCTGTGGGTTAGAAGTGGCAACAGGAATTTTTAATGTGTGTTATTTTTATTTTATTTTCTTGAAATATTTTGTTTTTAAATATTCACTATAATCTATATAATGCATTTAAATGGGAGTCCCCTTCATCACTGAAAGTTCCTCTAATAATATGAACACTCTAAGCACCAGATCCACTGCAGCTTTATGTAGTGGTTTTAATGCAAAGGGACGGTCCCTGCAGTCTCAGCAATGTAAACAATATATTTTCTGACATAAGGAATCCTCTGGTCGCTGCCCATCAGACTGCCAATACAGACAATTTGTGTTCTTGTAATCTTGGCAAGACATAAGGAGAAGACCCTAATGCTGCAGCATTGATGATCTCAGCCATTAGAGGACTAGAGGTTGCTGCAAGACCAACAGAGCATGGAGTTAAATTATTCCTATCTTTAGAGAGCTCCTTTAATGTAATGCAACTAACTTTTAAAATTTAAACTGCATAGAGACACATGGAATGTGCAAGCAACTCTTACAGGCACTGTCAAGCACAGTGCGTAATTTCAGTGTGTGTGTGAGTGTAGGTGTTTGTGTGTGAAACAATCTAAAATGAGATGGATTGAGTTTATCTGGTTTCCTGGCCTGAAGCATATCTGATTTTCATCATGGGTTTAATTCCCATAAATTGAATCCACAAATACCAGGATGGGATTACATTATAGGAAGAAATGACCTGAAATCTGATGACTGTACATGTTTAGTGCCTGCACAACTGGGAACATATGCCAAATTATAACACAGAATTATGTATCTATCATGCAATTTGCAGTCTCAGTGGTAGATTTAACTGTGTAAGTCAACAAATAAGGAGAGACCTGTTGGTTATTATTGATGGACATTTTAAACCTGAACATTGTCCTGCGTCGTCACCTGGAGAGGGAATACTCTGGACAGACAAAAGATGCCTCTCCATATATTGTGATACAATCAACACTTCTATGAATTCTCAATGAACATTATAATGACAAGAACTACGTTTGAGTTTTCCTGCATAGAAATTAGCTTTCTAAGTCTTTGTAAGTTTAGGGTGTTTTGTATTTTGATTCAAGTCGTATTTTCTTTTTGAATTTTGTATGCAAAAAATGTTGTTTATTTTTATTTGTCTCTTCTGTTCAATTGTTTGTTGTTATGTTGTGCGCTGTTAGTTATTCTTTATCTTATTAAAATTTGATGGCTGTTGTGGACCTGCACTTTCCATGACGGTAAATGCCCGCACTGTCCCCACTGTCACAGCTAGCTGATAAACCTCGTTGTGACAGCTACAATCACAAATGAGTGAAAAAAAATAATCAGAAAACTCACACATTTCCACACTTCCATTAAAGTTTCAATATTTGGCTTGCCTTTATGCAGCAGATGGTGCTAAAAACTGTTAGCATTTCTTTGGTGGCGACATTAGATATTTTGTGCACCATCCTTTTTAGGTTGTTCTTATTTGAGTGTTTGGAGGAGTTCTTTCTTTTCATTTTCCATTAATCTGGAGGATTTGGTTCTATATATTATACTATAATAGAATAAACAGGTACAATTGCTTAGAATTTTAATTACTATTTTCCACCATGCAATGATGTTCTTATTTATCTGTTAAGTTTTAAAGTACCAATATTTTCCACATTGTTTCTGAGTTCATATAGATCCGATTGTCTATTAAGAATATATTGCTGGGTGTCCTCATTTTTGCCCTTATATGATATACACACACTTTTCTATTACTCATGCATTGCTCCGTAAAATGTGAGCAGGAAGGCCTTGATATATGCACTATTGTTTTACCCAATGTTATGGAGTCCATCAATACCTAAGGTGCTGTGGAGGATAGAGAACAAAGACACATTTTTTACAGATGGCCTGAACTGAAAGTTCATCTGCATTGCATTACCTGCCAGTGCTTAAGGAGGATCACATGGGTGATGCATTTGCAATACAGCTAATTTATTTCTAAATCCTAGTTATATAGCATAAAACACTTTAAACCTCATGATATTCATTATACTCTTTGGATTTTAATATTTAACAAGGATGTTAAAAGGAACAGTGCTTTAAGGAGTATACTTGCAAGGCTTTCTTTCTTTTAAATTGGTTAGAGTTCTTGGCCATCTGCCTAATGCTGTGTGTGCACTTTAATATGGGAGCATCATGGGGTCTTTCATTGTAAAGATGAAACATGCATGGCTTTTGTATAGATCACATATTACATTTAATGTTATAAACCTGGATAGACTTCTAATAAGCAGCTATACGGCGATTCAATGTATTGTAGCAAAAAAAAAAAGAAGCAAAACTACAGAACAAATTTTTAAAAAAATAAAAAACCAAGCACAAGGAGGGTGTAGGTCTGATTAAAATGAGCATCTAAATCCCCCCTGTGTTGTCTTTCCTACTGGGGTACTTTAAAGAAGCTGTTGGACACTAAGATCACATAAATAATATCATATGTTGCAAAGGAGCATGGCAATGTGGGGATTCCAAACACATTTGAATTAACACTTTCACTTTTCAATGTATGTTTAGATGATATAATAACAGCTTTTCTGAACCAAAAATGTTGATAGAACTGTGAGACAGGAGATGTGGGAGCAGGCCGTCATATTAAGTATTCATTGATGGACAGCTGCGTATTTTGGCTGCATTTAGGTTACTTTGAGAGCTACATATACAAAGCATGTCAAGAGCAAGGTCCTCACAGGGTTATTCGCTAGAGTGTGAATTCTTAGGAATTCCACTCAATCTTTTTTTTCTCTTTTTTACGCATATTGTTTTGCTAAATAACATGCAGTATTCTATTACTGATCCTATAATACTGCTGTGTATGATGTCATGACAAGTTTCTGAAGTTGTAGTTAATTTTTTTACCAAAGAAAAAATTAAATCCAACTATATAACCCAGAAACACCTGCTGTATCCATGAAGCTCTTATATGTAGGGATGTATGGAATTTGCTCAATTCTGCTGTAGAAAGTCGAGCAAGCATCATGATTGGCAGATTTATTCCTGGTCTTAGCTTATAGGAGAACCTGGAATTTGCAAATATTGATTTGCAGCAAATGCAAGAATGTCAACCACGAGCACCATGTATATATATAGCACCATGTATATATATATATTTTTAATGATTACTTACTGTATTTTCATCTTTTAAAGCATTAAAAAGAATGGGTGGACCCTCAGCTAAAGAAATAGTGAACGAAATGTCTTCCTGACAGTTAGCAAAGACATACCAGCTATTGTGAAAAAAAGCAACACATCAAAATATACCATGAGAACGCAAGAAAGCAGTTATCCTCGAGCAATTCCAAGGTAAAGTTATAAAAAGAATGCAAGACAATGGTATATTGTTACAAATTGTTCCACCATTATAACTACATGAATAGTGTTTCTAAGCATCTAAGGATGCTGGAAATGTAGCAACAATACGCAGCTGTTTAATAGGTCATGCTTAATATATCTGCCGGCATCTACAGTTATAGTCTTACAGTTCAACCTCATTAGTCTCTGTGATACATAGGGCTATCAAATCCACCATGACACATAGTGCTCCATGAAAACTCATGCCTTGCTGTATGTGACATTCATATGTGACCCTGCAATATACAGTCAGGTCCATAAATATTGGGACAGCGACACAATTCTAATCTTTTTGGCTCTATACACCATGGCCAGGTGTGTGTTATTCCCTCATTATCCCATTTACAAGGAGCAGATAAAAGGTCCAGAGTTCATTTCAAGTGTGCTATTTGCATTTGGAATCTGTTGCTGTCAACTCTCAATATGAGATCTAAAGAGCTGTCACTATCAGTGAAGCAAGCCATCATTAGGCTGAAAAAACAAAACAAACCAATCAGAGAGATAGCAAAAACATTAGGTGTGGCCAAATCAAATGTTTGGAACATCCTTAAAAAGAAAGAATGCACCAGTGGACCCTCTGCTCCTTGTAAATGGGATAATGAGGGAATAACACACACCTGGCCATGGGACAGCCAATTGTCACATTACTTTTGGTCCATTGAAAAGTGGGAGGCACATATACAAACTGTTGTAATTCCTACATCGTTTACCTGATTTGGATGTAAATACCCTCAAATTAAAGCTGAAAGTCTGCAGTTAAAGCACATCTTGTTCATTTCATTTCAAATCCATTGTGGTGGTGTATAGAGCCAAAAAGATTAGAATTGTGTCAATGTCCCAATATTTATGGACCTGACTGTATATACATATAATTAGTGTGATAATGTAAACACTTTTGATTACTTCTCACCACCCACTTTCAGCCATGAAAAGGTTGAAACCAATAAAACCAATCTTTATTACAGCGCAGAAAGAATTACGCCACTCCAACTTCAACTGTGCTACTGTGAAGTCATTATTACTGGTGATGACTTGTGTCCAATTATTGATGCTTCTCATAGCATTGGGACACACCAACAATGGGACCAGTGCTTCTTTATGTGAAGGTCTCACTTTGGCTTTGAACTATAAATTGAATATATATATTGCGAATGAGGCAAGAAACCCTGTCGGCTGTCTAAGAGCCGGCAGGTGGTACTAACTAAGGGGGTTTTATAAAAGTGCAGATTGAAATTGGCACTTTTGGAAAAAAAATTATATGCTTGATGGGATTTTATTATTATTATTTGTTTTTAAACAAAATAATTAAATTTGTTGTTCTGACAAAACAATAAATTACTCTGTGATGTTGGTTATATGTGGATTGTAGTTAAATTGTTACCAGAAAACCTTGTGTCGATAAAGATACCACCTTTGTATTATCTGTTATTTATAAGGTTTGTAAATGCTATCTCATGGCATAGAAAGTGTCTCTGTATGCATGTACTGCATTTTGTTATAATGAACTTTGTAAACCAAAAGAAATTAAGGATATGCATGCACTTAATGGTGTCTCACCAGCACTCCTGGTTTGATACTGGGGTAAGACATTCTTGTGAATTTTATTTTATTGTTTGGTTTTTGCATATTTTTAAGGCAGTAACTTGGAGTGTCCCTGCAACTTCATGTTCAGTGACACTATATTCAGTATTTTTTCTGTAAGAGTGTCTTATGACTATTATGGAGTTTTAGTTTACTCCACAAGTGTCAACAATGTAATTATTATATTGTTTATACTTTTTATTCTGTTTCCCTTGTATTGATACCTACGGCAATACCTTAGAGAAAACAGGTGCAGATACCCATAACGAGTAGTGAATCACTAACAATCAAATTAACAAATTTACTTCTCCCAGTAAAGTAGGTAGACACTTAAAAAGTACAGAGGTTTGCAGAGTCCATTTAATGCTGCGCTAGGATCCAATCTGCTTTGCATGCAGATTAATTCACTCCAAGTCATGTAGACACAATGTAATCATCATTTAGCATTAGAGATGCCTAGTGAGGGGGCTGACCTCAATTTCTTCTATTTCAGCAAAATTCTCAAGGAGCAACTTGTTTCTGTATTTTCAGTTGGTATCTTTAGCAATTATCTAATTATGGTGTACAGAGGATAAATAAATGCAGCCGTAATTATACTATCACTAGCTATGTGAAGTAGAGAGCTTTAATCCCTTCACGCTGATGAGATTTATCAGTTTAGATTTAGTTTGCAACAGAAAACCCCCTACCAAACGTTTTAACATTAACATCCAAGCGCCTATCTAGAAGCTTATCTGACACACCAGATACTCTTACTGTACACTTTGTTCATGATTACATTTGATTACTTAATAACACAGCCATTACTATGTCTTTTGAGAAGTAATGACAGACCCATTTCCTCATCGGAGCACCTATGTGGTGTATTTTCTTTGTGGGGTAGATATTCCAGATCCGCCATATTTTTATAGACATCGATGGCCTATTCATGGTGTTCCGTCCAAGTAAGTGAAATATAGATCCTGTTGGAAACAAATCTGTTAAAGGGACTCTCTGGGAACCAATACAGCTATAATATATTTAATAGATTTTGGCCTCATTAATATGCTGTATTTCTTACATGTTCAATTCTTTAGAGATCGTGCAAAGAAAAAAAAATGTTTTTCAGCATGCTGCACCATAAGTCTGCCTCGTTAGCCACACCCCCTCACTCCAGAAAAAAAGACTTCCTTATCAAGTGTATGCACCCAGCTCAGCCACTGACAGTACTGAGTGAGTGTTTTTGAATTCACAGCCTGGCAGCAGACAGTGAAAAAAATAGCAAACCAGTAGTAACATCCTTACTATATGCCTCTCTGGATGTCCTCTCCTTCTAATGCCAATTGTTTTGTTGTTCAGATCATTCAGTGCTGTCAGTGGCTAAGCTGTGTGCATACCTTTGATAAGAAAGTATTTTTCTGGAGTGAGGAAGCATGACTAAAGAGGCAGGCTTATGGTGCAACATTCTGAAAAACATTTATTTATTTTTTTTGTGAAAAAACTATAAAGATTTGCACATGCAAAAATAACAGCATATTAATAAGATTAAAATCTATCAAATGCATTGATGCAGTACTGGTGTCCAGATTGTCCCTTTAATCAATGAGTGACACCATAGTAACAACCTTAAATATATATATATATATATATATATATATATATATATATATATATATATAATTGATTTATCAGCTGCAGCATGAGAAGGTTATGTATGCATATAACAGATGAACACTTAACATTCACTGTCCATTAGGATTGCATTTAGGAGTGATTTATCTCCAGAAAAATCTGGTGAATCTGGTGAACATGAGTAAGAGTTATATGATGCAGCTTAATATCAGTTCTCTATCTAGAGTCTTGTTCTCCTTCACAGCCTACGTTTGATTTCCTACACTCTGTGAAGCATGTGCTGTTGGTTAGCTTTTTCGTGGATGCTCAAAATACCATAACCACTGCAGCTGTGAAGTCTGTTCACTAAGTGCTGAATGGTGACCAAATGGCATTTGGTTGTTTCAACCAATGATTTTAAATATAAAATCTTTATCATTAGGCTGCCATTCCATTAACTGATAAAGTCAGCCGACATTTGTATCCTTATCATTATGTCATCCAAATCCCCTTAATTCATTCAATCTAACTCTTGATACAGGCTGTATTCTTACCTTCTTTTTACAGTGCTAGGGAATTATTCTGCTATCTGGTTAAAGTGCCTCAAGTTTTTGAGTAGTTTGACAAAAAAAATCTGGGCTCTCTTGGTTCTCTTTCAAGCCCTGTTAATTTTATCTGCTTAAATTTCACTCCATACTTCAGGGTCACATGTAGAATTAATTATAGGGCAAAGGACACAAGCCTCTCTATTGCATGCATAATCCCAGCCTCCGAAGTTACCTACATTTTTTTCTATTAAGAATTTAAGTACTGGGGCAGTTTGAGTAAATTACTCATTACCCAATAGTATATGATGATTTTAATTACTTCATTTAAAGATTATTTTAATGTATACAACCCGGTGTATCCTCTAAAGTTCTGAATCTGCTGGCTTTGGTTTAATTAAAGGTAACCATACTATTATTTTAATGGGATGCTCCCTCAGTAATTGATCGAAGTTGTAGAGACCATGGAACAGAAAAATAAAAAAGATCCTGGAATTGAAACCCATTTACTAGATTTTAAAACTGTATGACTCACTATCTTCTCTGACAAATATAAATTGCATCAATTAAATAGTGCCATTCTGCATAAACATGCAAAATACATTAAGTATTCACATAGAAATCTCAACAGTGTAGACAATAGGTCAAGACAAATTTTGACAAACCCCAAGAGTGAAAATAAATTAATATAAGAGGGGTTAATCAGCACAAAGGTATGTCTAATTCATAAATTGACTTGTTCTCAGGTAAGGATTCTTTTCTTGCAGGATCTTGGGAGTGGAAGTTCTCAGACATAAAGTTCTCTCAGACATACTCCAGATTGTAGCATGTTGCTACACCTACACCTTAAGGCATGAACAGGATCAAACATTGTGAGCAGCAAGCAATGTATCCAATAAAGTTGTTTTCACAATTTATTTGCAAAAGTGTAGAACGAATCAAATAACAGAGGGGCACAGCAGCAAAAATGTAACACGTTTTGTGCAGTCATGCACCTAATCCTAAAACTTACATTTAAGTACACTTCAGCCTGAAACATGTTTTTGTTGCTATACCCCTATTCACTTTTGTGAACAATTTAAAGGAACACTGTAGGGTCAAGAACACTAACATGAATTCCTGGCCCTATAGTGTTAAAAACACCATCTGCCCCCCCTTACCCCTCCCAGCCCCACCGTGTCCCCTAAATATAGTAAAGTCTTACATTTATTCCAGTCTGCTGCTGGCCCTGCCCCGATCTGCCTGCTTTGCTGACAGCATCAAAAGTAATGATTTGAGCCAATCACAATGATTTCCCATAAGAAAATATTGGATTGGCTCAGACTGTCAAGTAGAGTCAGCACAAGCCAAACGCCACCTGGCCAATCAGAATATCCTAATAGAGATGCATTGATGCATCTCTGTTAGGAAAGCTGAGTGTCTCCATGCAGAGGGTAGAGACACTGAATGGCAGCACTGCCCCAGGAAGCACCTGTAGTAGCCATCTGAGTAGTGGCCACTGAACATATCATTAGGCAGTTCTCTGCAAAAAGCCTGAAGGGAATGATTATACTCACCAGAACAAATACAATAAGCAATAGCTGTTCTGGCGACTATAGTGTCCCTTTAAGATTTTTTTTTTTATACATTGCTTGTTGTTACCATGCTTGTGCTGCTGTTTTTTTATTCTTTATACCTAGTTGGAATGAAGAAGAGCGGACGTCTAGGAAAAATAGAAATTATGTGAAGGCGTGACATCATTAGTTCATCATAGCTAAGCATTCATGGAATTGCTGATGCCTGTCATTTATTTGCTGCTATACCTTAACCTTGTATATTACTGTTGCTTGAAAAGACTCATCACAATCTTGCTTTCTTCTACAGCTTTCATTTTCCAAGTAACATGCTGAGTTTGAGCATCAGAGTACAGATTAAAGAGTGAGTTCATGACACATCAATATGAAATGTATTAAATTGCATTGAATTTCATAAAACAATTTTTGCAGCTATCAATCTTTTGGAATTTTTTCTAATACCATGCCATAGGCAACAACATATTTAAAAAAAAAAAAAATAGTAAAACAGTAATTTAGTTAAGAAAGAGAGTCAGTCTAAGACTTGTTAAGCAGTTAAAAATTGGAGATATTGTTTAGTTTAGATAGCTTTAGCTAACATATAAAGAATCAGGCACTTCTCAAATAATAATTAATAATATGGAGATCCTGCAAACAAATGAGAGCAATATACAAAATAGTATAAGGGGAAAATAGTATTTACACCTAGAATGTTTTTCCGTGACAAGCAAAATCCTTGAAAAATTTAACTATGGTTTTTCCTGTTTTTTTTAATGGGAAATCATGGATCCTGCACTGAAACTGCCACATACATTTCTCTGGAGTAAAAAGTACATAAACATAGTGTAACAACCAAACAGAATATCCTTAAAGGGACACTATAGTCATCAAAACAACTTTAGCTTAATGAAGGAGCTTAGGTGTATAGATCATGGCTCTGCAGTCTCACTGCTCAGTTCTCTGCCATTTAGGAGTTAAATCTCTTTTGTTTCTTTTTATGGAGCCCGTAGCCACACCTCACCTGGCTGTGACTGACACAGCCTGCATAAAAACAAAATGGTTTCATTTTCAATGTAACTTACTTTACTAGGATTTACTCCTGCTCTGTAAATTGTACTTTAATCACACACAGGAGGCTCCTGCAATGTCTAGCAAGCTATTAACAGTGCGGGAGATAAGAAATTCTAAATTAAACATTCTGTGCAATAAAGGAAGTGTAAACATTAATTCTCACTTTATAGGAATGCTGTGTAAGTCATATGCAGGGAGGTGTGAACAGAACTGCATTAACAAAGCGATTTACCTCCTAAAGGACAGAGAATTGAGCAGTAAGGCATTATTTATGCACTAAAACTACTTCATTAAACTAAAGATGCTTTGGTGACTATAGTGTCCATTTAAATTGACAATCTAAGCATCAAAACAACTTTTGCTTAATGAAGTGGTTTTTGTGTACAGATACTGTCCCTGTAGTCTCACAGTTCAGTTCCCTGCAATTTACAATTAAAATTGCTACCACAACCCCACTGCACACTTTCTGTAAAGAAAGGTCTAATTTTTTAATTTCTTTATTGTACACTGTGTGTAATTTAGATTTGTCTATGTTTATTGAGCATTGACACTGCAGGAGTATGATTTATACATGAAAACTGCTTCATTAAGATACAGTTGTTTTGGTGCTTGGAGTATCTCGGTACCACCGTTATGTGTGCTATATCTCTAAGGTGAGCAAAATGCATACATTTCCCACTTAAAAGTCATGGACATTTTAAGCAAAAACCTCTCAAAAGGCACCAAGCATAATTCGACATATTAATCACGGTTTATTGTGGAAAAAGCAACTTCTTTTTCCTGGATATTGCAATTGCATCTAAATCACATGTCATTTACATGAGTAAATTACTTGCCAATATAATTTTTATGTCAACTGCTTTATTCATCAGCATTGAAATAAAATTTCACCGAAAATGCACTTCCAAGGTATATGACAGTGGAGAAAGACTAGTAATTTTCTGGTCAACTTAACCCCTCCACTACCTACCAGTTTGCAGAAAAGTCACCCCCAGAATCCAGGTATTTTGTATGTCCTGGAAAGTAACATTTAAATGTATTTTGGGGGGGCAAGGCTTGACAGCCATACTGGGCAGATGCACCTTGCATGAGCTCCGCACCAAGTTCACAATAATCGTTCTTTTAATTCGAATATTCCCTAACTGAAAGATTGGGAGATCTTTAGAAGTTTACCTGGCATTACAAACGTGATTTTTGCTGCTTGCTGGAAGTGCATTTGGCAGCAAAAGTGAGAATTGGTGCTATGGCCTCCCCGAGGACAGGGATGTAAGAGAGGTGGCTGATCTTTCCATCTCACGTTCCTTGGGACAGATCAGCATTAGATGTCCCACCCCCCACCACCAGTGGGG